TTTGCAAGTCACTAACAGCTCACTAGTTGAATGCCCGTGCTCGTTTTGTTGCGGAGTCTTTCCTGACACCGGTAAGTCTCTATGGAATAATCTACCATTGACCCAGTTGCTGACGATCAATCAGTTCGATTAAATTGCCAAGCGTTTCCTTGTTGATTCCGAATAATGAATGGCCCTGTGTTTGCCACTTTCTACTCCTGTACAGATAGCATAGGCTTGCATTGATTAAGAGAGAACTTTATATCGATGTCGGGTTTTTTTGTAACACATTTCCACCGGCATAGTGCCTCACTAGCCTACTGTTCTAGTATGGCCTGTTCCTTCCCAATCAAGACGGAAATTACCTACATAGCGCTTATAGTATTGAACGAATAAACAAGAAGAAATCACACCAGCGACCAACGGTGTTTTGGCAAAAGTAGCAGAATACTTATCTTCAAGAGAAGCGATTATCTACAAGGAAGGCGTGGAATTTCAGTTGGTGCGGATCAGGTACGTGAAATTAGTAGATAGGGACAGAAACGAGTGCGTCGCTTTAAATACGTACCTTAAAGCCTCGATATTCAAACAGCACACATGGCAGTGAGAAAGGTGAGATCGAATCCCGTCTTATATCTCACGGCACAGGTACGAACTCGTAAACGCGTGGTGTAGCCTAATTCCACGCATATAAATAGTTCATTCTTATCAACACGCACTCTCTCTCGTAAATATTTCTGTTTCCACGCACTGTTTCCACGCACTATCTTCCCAGACAGCCCTAAAACATGAGTGAACAACATGGGCATATGCCCAAATTTGAGGATTGGCCTGCGAGTATAAGTATCCTAGCAGCTAATGTTGATCTAATGTCTCTCAATGAGAACTCACGCCCAGAGTCACCGACTGTGACTACGCCTGTCTCTGAGAGTCGCAAACACTCACCTGGAATTGTCGATGATTGTTCTTCTCTCAAGAAATCGCGCTCTGATTGCACCCCAGCTCTCACTCAACTTTCTGCTCAGGCTCTTGCAGAGGTTCCTGCCCAGTCTACCGCTCAGGTTTCTCCCCTCCTATCCCATCCTTCCCTTCCTTCGACCCCATCCTCTTCTTACCGAAGTTCATCTTCCTCTTCCACTATTCGTCCCCCTCCAAACCGCCGTCTTGAGTTTGAGCCTGGATTCCATCCCAGGCCCTTTGAATTCGTGCCCCAAGCCTATTCTCCTCTCAGTCTTCAGTCCCAATCTCGTCGGTATCCTTTTGAGACTGTATCTCACCACAATCCTATTGACCTTTCTGGTCAGTTCCAACCCAGTAAGCATCTTCTAACTCCCTTCGTCGTGATCGGTCGACCTGCTATACCATCATCAGTGAAACTGTTTGAGCCTCACTGACAACGGTCTCTACTACAGCAAACGTCTGCAAACCCAACTTTGGTCCATCCAACGCCATCAACATGGGCTGGCCATTCGACCAGGGTGGGACCCCCAATTTTGGGGATTTCGAGCGTCTTGAAAACTTCTCAATCGAAGAACTCCTCCAGCAAGCATCCATTCCATTTGGTAGCACCGTCGAGATGCGTCCACCTTCTCGCAATGGTGTTGTGGTGATTTCTAACGTGAGTTTCCACCACGTTCTTCTGCTTTGTTTAACATTCCAGTACTAACAATTATGATACTTAGATTCCGTACACTGTGACTCGCCAGGAGGTGGCCTCATTCCTTGGACGTAGTGCGAACCTGCTTCCATCCTCTCAAGGATGCCCCATCCATATTATTATGGAACGGTCCACTGGAAAGACCATGGACTGCTATGTTGAATTCCCAACAAGAAAGGATGCCGAAGAAACTGTCGACCGGATCAATCGTGCCTATGATGCTGGCAGCACCCCACGTATGGGTAGCCGTCATGTCGACATAGAACTCAGCACCCCAGCCAAGCTTCTCAAGGCTGCTTTTCCCCGGGCGAAGTGCATTTCATGGGAGGATGGGAATCCTGTTCAGCTTGTCAACAAAGATAGTTGGTCCACCGGTTTTGATGGCTTTCTCACCGACGAGGAGCTGTTTTGCCTCACTCGGCATGCAGAGCAACCTCACCGTGTACGTCTACTTTTCCTTTTGAATTCTTCGTTTTTTTCATGTTACTAACCTTAACAAATTGCAGAGTGCATTTGCTAGCAAGGTCCCTCAGCGTTGTTACGAATCGTTCATTACCACTATCTGGAAGGTAAGTTAATCATTGTCCATACCTCTCTGTTTGCCCTTCTATGTCATACTTACATTCTTTGTCTTCGGATGTAGTTCCCATGGCATGCAACTCATCTTTACACCGTGCATCACCGCAATGCACTTTTCAAAACTCTTGTTACTTTGATCAAGACTCTAGTGGAACGTATGCAAAAGGCAAACACAGTGGGCTTGGATATCCGCCTTCTCAGTGAGTTGGTTAATGCAGGGATCAGCTGCCCTGCCTTTAATCCTCGCATGAAATATTGTTTTGCTTGGTGGTCGAAGGATAAGAGAAGAATTGGGTCATTGGACCATAATTGGTGCCTTTACTTCCCATTCGATACTCTGACCTACATTCCTGGACACCATTCTGCTGCTATTCAGGTACGTAATATGGCTGAGATGTTGTCTTCTTTTGAGAAATTACTAATTCATTCTTCAACCGATATAGTTTTATTCCTATGTCATGTCCAACGGTTCGGTTCTGCGCACCGAGAACGACGGTCTTCTCAACCAACACACTCACCCTGAGATCGAACGAATCTTCGGAAGGTTCTGGTTTGAGTGGGATGATGATGTTGCCCGTAGCAAGATCTTCAAGGATGCAATCATCTACGAAGCCAGTGTTCTGCGGAAGTTCGTCATCACTGGATACCAGCAACTTCACAGGAGAAACTCAAGCATCTCAACTATTGGCACTGCTCCTGGCTCATCGCCAACCCACAGTCTCGCCTCAGTTGACAGCCAGCGCACGATTTCAGTTTCCCACAGTGGCTCCGTGAATTCCGGCCGTGCTTCTCGGGGGAGCTCGACTGTTTCGTCCACCAGAAATATGTCTAGCAGCCTCCTTGAGTTAACCAACAACTGGAATATCCCTGGTAGCTTTCGTGAAAGCTCTCAGCAACTTGATTCTGCCCAATATCTGCCGAACACCCCGACTCATCGGCCTCGCGCATCGGCCCCCGCTTACGTTCCGCCGCACCAACGACCCGATTCAGCCAAATCCCGCAAACAGTCGGTTAGCTGGCGTATGCCTCAACTTCAGGAGGCAACTGCGGGTGGCTCGACTCAGAACCAGGGTGATATCCGGCCTATCTACCGTGCTCCGCATGCGACTGCGCAGAACGTTCGGTCGTCCTCTGATCCTTTCGGTCCAGTTCCTTCGCTTGGTCCTAGCAGCCACCGGTCTCGCTCCGACGCTACTCGTCTGTCGAACATTGATCGCCAGGTGTTTGATGAGTTCCGAGCTGGTGGCCGCGGTGCTCGATTTGCAAAGAAGTAATCGCCGCACGCGGTGGATACTCTGAACCAGTACTTCTCGCTTGAGGAGTGTTGGTTCATCGGAATGGTAATGGTCTTGTGTTTCTGGTTTTTCCCTTTCTCGGTTCTTTCCTGCGTGTGATGTATGGAGACGTCCACCAGCTTTATTCAAAAAACCCTTGTCTCCCTGGCGCGTTCGCCATTTTCTTGCTTTTCCTTTGTCTCGCCTTTTCCTCCCGCGAGATCTCCCACTCACGGCTGCTGCCTTCGGGATGTGTTTGGCCGGTTTGTGAGGTCTCCCTCGAGGAAACTCATTTGAGGTTCATGTTTTTCTAGCCTTGATGTCACTTTTCAGTTAGTTGACTAGCTAGATCTCATTTACATTGAATTCTCTCCTTTGCTTTTTCTTGTGTTGTTGTTCTCTAGGCGGGCGTTGTTTTTGCTTGTTTGTAGGCTCTGCGGTAACATGCATATAGTAGGACAGCTGACAGCCAATAGAAGGCTGAGATCAACATTGGAACATTAGGAAGACTAAGATTAGGTTGACCAGACCGATCTTGCAACATCACCTCTTTGATTCCGGGCAATTGCTGAAGTAGGTCAGTACTTTACTAGTTCTGATTTCCTACTTGCTGTCTCGCTTTGAGCACATCAGTGTCTTCAATGTTCTTTCTGTGTTATTGTGGTCCTAACTAACCTTCTGTCTCTTAATCTTGATGTTGCAACTATCTATGGACTTACCAGAATCAGACAAGAACCTCCGATCACTCAGCAAAGTCGACACAGCTACCAACACTTGTCGGTTCCTAAAAGAGGTAATTGTGACCAAGCTGAGGGATTACCTCAGCTACTATCAACCGAATTCTCATTATTACCACTGCGAGCCATCGATCCTTAATAAAGACCAAACGAGCACCGGCTACAATATGGTCAGAGCGACAGACGAAGACAGCTAAAATAAAGGGGACTAGGCGTGGGAGTACAACTGCCACTTAGTCAAGGGCCTAGATTGGGACATACTGAGAGCTCTTAGTGAAGTCAATGACCTTGTGCACCCCCTATAAAGACAGCAATATGTTAGGCACAACTACAAGTAGCCAGCCCAAAACCATCACCGATATCGCAGTCTCATCCCCGATCAGTTCCTCCAGCTGAGATCGGAATATATAATCATAGACAATAAGGCATTTCCAACAAATCTGAATTTCTACACATCACTTCTCAACAACTAACATTGATGTCTCTGAAAGTACAAACGATACGTCTTGAGGGGGGGAAAACGGAGGAAAAAAATAAAAAACAGTAAGGGACTAAAAGCGGAGAATGTTTATTACAGCCGGTTTTTAAGGCCTGTGGGACCCTTCTGGTTTTATTCTTATCCTTTTATTCTTTCATCTACAGTATTTTGCTTCTTTTCTTGCTTTTCTTGATTTCCAAACACGAAACCAGAGTTCCAACTCCTCAGTTTATAGAGAAGAAAGGGTGGACAAAGACTCTACCGAGTTTGAACGTTTTCATTGAATTTATCTAAGTATGCCACGACGGTCATCTCGGCCTGATCTGGCGTCGCCTGAAGCGCCTACGGCGTCAAAGCGACGCGCTTCAGCCAGACTGTCCGCCGCCGAACCGGGGGTCAAACGGGTCAAGTCAAACGTCGACCTGTCTCTCAGCCAGGCAAAGTCTACGACCAGGAAGAGCAAGTACTTCGAGCGAGAAGACCCCGACGAGCCGGAGTTGGAGTCCGATGTCTCTGCGGAGGAGTCTTCTGGCTCCGTGTACGAGGAAGCAGAGGAGGAAGCCCCCGCCGAGGATGCGGAGCCGGACCAACTCTCCGACACAGACGAGGACGCGAAGAAGAAACTCAGCGCGAGGGGGAAGCAACGACAGAGTACCAGCAGCGGAAGCGACCCTATGAAGGGCAAGGAGCTCTGGCGCGAGGGCGTCAGAGCGGGCCTGGAGCCCGGGCAAGAAGTTATCATCGCAAAGCCCAAGGCCCGAGATGCGGGGAACACCCCATACCAGGATGAGACCTTACATCCCAATACTAGGCTTTTCTTGATCGATCTAGCTAGTAACAATGACCGCCAATGGCTAAAGGGTGAGAAGCGCGCATATACCCCGGTTATCGAGTTGCTGGCTGAGGTGTGTAGCGCATGATCCGGATTACCGAGCGGCAAAGAAGGACTTTGAGACATTTGTTGAGTCCCTCACGCCAAAGATTGCAGAGGTGGATGCTACCGTCCCTGAACTTCCTGTGAAGGACCTGGTAGGCTTGCGAATACTCCTGTCTTTACCTGTGCGCGGCACTCATAAACTTTTGCCCTAGGTATTCCGCATCCACAGGGATGTTCGCTTCAGCAAGAATCCACTTCCATACAAGGTAAGCTATCTTCCCCTCCAAGTCCCTGTCGCTGTGCCTGTCGCATGCGTGCGTATGTGGCGGGGTGCGTGGTACTGTGGGCTCGTTAGCAGTGCTTGTGCTGATTCAAAATGTATAGACGCATTTCTCTGCTGCCTGGTAAGTTTCAATGTTCAATGAATTTCTTGGAAAGCCAAGTCACTGAATATAGGGCAGGTCTCGGACTGGCAAGAAAGGCCCGTACGCAGCATACTATGTCCACTTCCAGCCAAACTCTTGTTTTGTTGGTAGGTTGTCCTCCGGCTGGTTTCCACTGTCGCCATCGCTATCCTGGCTTCCTTTGTGATCTTCGTCCATTGAGACTAATCCCACGCTGTGTATAGGCTGCGGGCTGTGGAACCCCGAGGCCGAGCCACTTGCACTGCTGCGAGAGGACATCGACGAGAACTCGGGTGGCTTGAAGGAGGTACTCCGCGCGCCGGAGATGCGTCGTGAGTTTCTGAAGGGAGCGTCCGACGATGACGATGCGATTGTGGATGCTTTTACGCATCACAATAGGGAGTCTGCTCTGAAGACGAAGCCCAAGGTGAGAAGTTTTCTGTTGTCTATTCCCCCCTCACCCCAATGTGAAGTATGGTGTCCCTTGAGGCAGACTTTACTCCTTCCCATCATCTTGTGCTTCGGTTTCATTGTCAGCGGTTTGTTTATTATTTATGGCTGGGACGCGGAGGTCTTGAAGGCAGGGGGCACAAGGTTCGCTATCGAGGTTGCGTCCATCGTCCGACCGGGATTGGTCCTTGAAACGGAATTCATTCCCGTCTTCATCGACCAGTACCATCTTCCTGGCCTTGATAGCAACGGTCTGATGAGATCATAGAGACCAGTTCTTTGCGGTTGACCAAGCGATGCCGTGGTCGGGCTGCTGGACGTGACCCCGGCTACCCCAGAGATGGAAGGAACCCGAGGATTCGAGAGAATTTAAGAGTTTCAGGTGTCCCGAGTGCTTCATGTGCTCCGAACCATCAAACGCGAGACCTCGGGAGATGTGGAAGACACGCGCACGGGGGTTACGGGAAAGGCCAACCCGTGTTTTAGGCCAATTTTCACTCCCGGAACGCAATTTCCAAGGTTGGCAGTTTGCGCTCAATGGGGAATCGCACTTGCTGGAATGGGATTTGTTCTCACGCCGTCGACTTTGGTTCCATGGTTCACTCTCGCGCCAGGCTCCACGTCTGATTCATCTTTGGAACCTTGGAAGGGCCCTTGCTGACACACCTTCTAGGGTTACGAGGCAGACAACAAGAACATCAAATTACTTCGACTACGCAGTTTCACTATTGGCAAGCCTATTGCGGACGATGAGCTCACTGGAGACAATGCCCAAGAGATGATTGCTACTCTGGTTGGGGTCATGGAGCCTTTCGTAAGCCCTGTTCCAATCTATCGATTCCCGATTTCCCTTTCCCGCCGGTTTTGCCCCCTCTTGACTAGTCTGTTTTCACTTCTAAGCTAGCCACTTTGGCGGTGTTAGCCGTCCCTTTTATCCACCCGAACCAGCGCTGGTGTCACGATGGGTTTCCTTTTTCCTTTTTTCTTTTTTTCCTTATTTTTTCTTTTTTCTTTTTCCTTTTTTCCTTTTCTCCCCTTCCCGCTTTGACAGGATCGGAAGGCTGTTGGGACAATAACCTTTATGTTGGATAATCTGTATTGCTGACCGCTGACCGCTTCTCGTTTCTCGAACAGGTGACGTATCTCAACAGTGTAGTGATGCCTGATCAGTGACATGATTGGAGAGAACCACCCGCGCCTATTTGGCATTGGACGGGACCTCGGGAGGGGGAGAGAGGTCAATCTGTTCTGTTGTACGCTTTGCCTCTTACTTCGGGGCATGCGTGTGTGGTATGAAAGTTGGGGTATAAAGAGCTGTTCGTATTTGTTACAAGTCAGATTTCTCCATTTTATTTTTCTCGTTCAACGTCTGCCTTAGCTCGGGTCTTTTGTCTCTCGCAATTCCTCGACGTGAAACCGGGATCCCATCCCCCACCTTGACGCCTCCTGCACGTGGCTTCTTTCGTCAGTCCCCGCCGCGTTTCCTGGGTTGCTACTGCAGGCCGAACACTGGCGCGGGCCCAAATAACGCAACTAACATTGGCTCTGCAGTCATATCACCTCTAGTTGCTGCACTGCCGCACTGCTGCACACTGCAGACTATATAGTACACGGGCAACGCTCCAAATTGAGACATTACTACTGTGACACACGCAGTTCTAGACACTTCGACGCAATCCTGCTAGCCGTGCCAGCACCCAATGGCTGCGCAGCCCCTCGCAGCCCCTCGCAGCCCCTCGCGTGCAATATACAATTTAACCTTTTTGCAATCTACACTCCTCCCCAACCGAATTTCGAATGTACAACATAGTTATGCAAACCAAAGAAGACACAACTTTCCGAATTAAATGAAGCACTCAGTTGACGCGCATGATATCGCCACCGCAAGCGCCCGCGTTCGGCCCGTTGTCGGGCATGCCCGCTAGACTAAACTTGGGCCTGCAGGCAACGTGGATTGGGGCCCGGATAGTTCTACTCCGCCGTCCCCGATTTTGGGCTTTGAGATGAGCACCTTCCTTGTCTGGAATGGACTCCAATTTTTTTTGACTGGGTGGTATTGTTCTGTTTCGTTGTATGGAATAATGCATACTGTATGTGTTTAGTATGCACTGCGGATTTATGATTCTCGGTCGATGCTGTTCATTTCGGGCAGGGTCCGCTGGTCTCAGTCTAGTATGTCGTGGTCATGTATCAACTCAATACTCGGCTGTCCACGATGCAGATAGTTGAGCATTTCTTATCCCGGGGTCTGTTCTGTCTGTCAGTATATTGTCCTGGACCTTCACGCATCAAACCTAAGATGCATTCCCACTTTCAGCACGGAGTGATCTTCGAGAGATCGATATAAGGACATATGCAACCTCGCCCACAGAATAAGTAGATACATTATTTTATAAACACTTGGGACACAAAGCTTGTGAGTGGCGGCCTTAAGCAAGGCACTAGATATACAGAGAATGGAATATGCTAAAGTCTTGCGAGATATCAAAGTTATTTCGACTTCCCAAGGAATATCTAGGGCTAGAAGTTCGCGGTTCAAGACCATGATGGGTCTATACTCTATCTCGGGGGTTAAACATGTTAATTATATTATATTCATTCCCTAAATACCCTTCGCGGAATCTGAATTCTCGGATTATATTCTGTTGCTCAAGGGCTGACAAGATTTATACACTTGGGGTTAAACGTTTAGGGTAGAGGTAATCACATGTCACAATTTGTCTTGTTATCGACAGGCATGATGTTTATTGACCTAGAACAGCCAATTAACTCAAACCCAGGGATCAAGGTAGACGCCGGATCGACCTTTAAAACCTTGAGAGAGTCGGTCGATTTTTATGAGACACCTACTGTTGAGTTAGATTGGTGATACCCTAAATGCATCTGTATGCAATACAAAATCCAATCTAGCCGGAAACACCTAGGTGGTTTCAGATTTGCAAAGTCAAAAGCAAGCCTAAAGAAGCAAAATGGACTCCGGACTCGAAAAAGCAAATACGAAGCAGTTAACCTGCGCATCAATTAAATATGCCATAGGTCACTAGCTTCACGCACGCTCCGGAGAACCACATCCAGAAAAAGCAAGGCGGGATTGACTCGCTTTGTCTCCCGAATAGCGCCCGAATAGAGTTAAGGAGCATGGCTCACCTGTTGACCGATGAGGTATAGATGGTGGGAACCAATCAGATGCGAATATGACACGAATAACAGAAAAAAATATCAAACTTGCTTGAGCCCAAGAGAGGAAGAGCAAAGAAAGATCAAAGACTCGGCTAATAATGACTTCTTGCCGATCTCGCATATGCTTTTCCCAGGATCAGGTAGTCATCAGGCATCTCCCATCACACGACCTGCACGTTCGAGTTTGCTGTACACCGACTTTGAAAGCACTGCCTTGTTCCGGCTCAGTGCAGAAAAAAAAACCCCTCGCCACGTCAGATCCCCAGCACAGACCTTGCCCTCCCTGTGAATCTTTTACTCATTACTATATTGGTGCATATGGTGTTCCCGTGACCGTAAGGACATGCGGGCTGCGTCTATTAGTGCCCGACCCGTCTCCATCCTTGCTGATAGACGCGCTCCCGTGTGGGTAAGGAGGGGGTTTTATACCTTGGAATTGGGACGAAAACCTAGAAATTTCGAGAAAAAAAAAAAAAAAAGAAAATAGAAAAAGATTGCACTAAATGCAAAGTTGAAACCAGAAAAAGTACAAAAATATTATATAATGTAAAAATGTTGTAATAAAAACTTTACGATGGAACGTCGCAGCCTGTAAAAAGGGCTCCGGTCGGAATGGGTCCCCTAGCGTTGGGCGTTCAATTTCGACAAGCAGCGCTCAGTCCCTGTCGGATGGGCTAGTTTGGAGGACAGCTAGCGCGTCTCTAGGACAAACAGCATCGAGTGGCCAGCAGCTTTGGACCGGGTGGATCTTAGAAAGTCTTCGGAGAGCACGCTAATACTAGAAGGACAAAGCTGAACATGCCACGCCTGAGAGTGGGGAACGGAAAGACGCGGACGGCAATGCAGTCGATTGGGTTCGAAAAACGTGGCCTGAAAGGATTGTCTTATATCGGGAGGTACTCCATTTACGTCGTATTACTCCGTATTACCGATAGTGTATTATATTTATGAAAACCGAACACTGTATACAAGTACCTATTTTTATGAGGTATCCATGTAATCATATCATAAATATTTAAGTAACCAAGACAAGTAGGTCATGTCTAGAATAACGCACTATATAGAAGATATATGTGCCCCCGAGACGTAGACAAATACTGTACTGTAACAGCCGAGGATGTATTTTTGCCAGATGGCACACATGCATAGATCGGCGGGAAGGCCGGAGCGGCCCGTGGGACAAGTACCCCGAAACTTGATTGATTAATCCTGCGCAATAGTACAGAGCACTCGTATTATTACAATCTGCTCGATATATTATTCAATCCATGGTTGTGCGGGTGGGCTCTTTTTTTTTTTAACCCCCCATCGCTATGACCATCTGCTATTATTCACACTTTATCTCAGAACCCACATTCCCTGTATATTGCAAATGACATGGGCTGAAGACTTTGATCAGGGATTGGCGGTGACGGGGGGGGCGTACGCTAAATAGCCCCCCCGTACAACGTGGTTGTGGCTCTTGGACAAGGAACCCGCCCTGTCAGCGCAGCGCTAATGCAGGTTACCTTGGCTCATTATGGGCTTTCCGGATCCAGTGCTACAGCCCTGGGAACTTAGGGCACTCCACCCCCCTTCGTTCTCTCTTTCTTTCCCTCCAAAGTCTGGTTCATTTCAGATCCGCTCTCGTCACACTTTTTTTCCTCCCACAGACTTTGTGCCATACTCCATATCCAACCTTTGTCCTCCTATGGATGCCGTTCGTTGTTGAAGAGTGGCGAGTGGTCTAGCTTAACCCCACTCCCTCAGCTGAAGTCCGATCGCCACACTTTCGCCGCTTGAATTTTTCTTTCAAAGTAGTACCTACATGCAGTAGTTCCATGTACTTGATGGACTAGGGAGTCCTGGTCAAGGCAAAAATAGGGTATATAATACTGCCATTTAATGGTTGGAATAAAAATAAAATACAATTAAACCAACCCCGATTATGCATGGGAATGTGTCGCCCCGACCCGAGCCCATCGCCATGGAAAATGATCCTGGTTCCGCGGGGCCGGTTGCGGTTGTGCGACTACGGTCCGAGGCGGTCGTTCGTCCATGGGCGGGTTACGCAGCAAGGGTCACTCGGAGGAATTGACGTGCATGGATTGACCCATGCAAAAGAGGTCACCTGCCACATTGATGATGATGTCAACTTTGGAAGTTGAAATAATCTTTCTGAACATGTAGAACCGTTTCCATTATTATTATGGAGGTATAACTATTGTTCCAGGTAACAATGTAGAGTGGCGAAAAACGTGGAAAGTTACTCTCGGGCGCTACTACTAGTTGAAAAAAATAAAAATAAAAGAAAAGAATGAAAAAAGAAATCAGAAAGTAAGAGCGGTCGCCGTTCTCGGCTTCATAGTAACGGAAATCTGGTACCCTAGATTAAATTCCATGGTTCAAAACCTTGTCTCCCATGTTTCACTTGATGAAATGAAAGCGTAAGGTAAGGTCATCCTACTCGATGTATCCATGCATGTATTCGACATGGACACACAAACTGTTACATACAATGGTCCGCGTATAGATACACTGTCACTGTACAGTAATCCCCCCTCCATGTCTATGGGTCACTGGCGCCGCTTTAGCCCGCGCTGCCCGGGCTCCACCCCGTTCTCTAAAAATTCCCCTGTGCTTTTCCAATCAAATAATTTATTCCCTTTATTCTCTGCCCATTCCGATCTGAGCTTCTTTTTCTTCTTCTCTTCCCTGCTTATCTTGTCGTGGGGTTTTCAATTCCTTATATCTGCTCACGTCATAATCACCGAGGCTCTCTTTTTCTTTTTCTTTTCTTTTTCTTTTTTTCCCCTTCTGCTTTCCTATTTCCTATATTTCCTTTTTCTGTTTCCTTTTTTTTTTTGGGATCTTCCTGCATCTGCCCTTCTTGCCTTTCCCCTGCGTGACTGCGCTATGCTCACTTTGTCCGTGTGATTCGATCTCCCCTTTTCACCAACTCGACATCACACCCCTGCATCCTTTACTCATCTCGTCTTACTCTTCCCCAATAACACAAATGTCGGGCAATCCCAACGATCACGACCCTAGCCGTCAGGGTGATCCAAATCGCCAGGATCCTAGAGACCCAAGAGATCATCGAGACCCTAGAGCCACCCAGTGGAACAATCCGGATGATCAGGTTTCCTACCCAGTATGTGCTGTCTTAGAGCCTGTTTACAGTGCTGTGACTTTGTGGTGGCTGCGGTTGCTGATAGCTTCATAGTATCCGCCGACTTCCTACCCTCCGCCACCTGACCAGGACCGTGCCTACCAATATCCCCCTCCCGCACAATACGCGCCATCGCAGTATCCTCCTCCTCCGCAGTACGCCCCATCGCAGTATTCCCCGGCGCAATACCCGGATCCAAGATATCCGCACCCACAAGCCATGAACGCTATCCACGGAGCGCAAGATCCCTACCGTCTCCCACCTCCGCCGGGTCCTTATCGCGCCGATGCATATGGACCCCAAACAGGACAAGGGCCTTATCAAGCAGCAGCTCCGCGACAGCGAACGGCTATTGCATGCCGGTATTGTCGGCGCCGGAAGGTACAGAGGGAATTCCTCCCCGTTTGCGAGTCATCACGCGCTAATTTTGACCCGATAGATTCGTTGCTCGGGTTTCGAGACCTCCGCAGATGGACGGTGCAGTAACTGTGTTCGATTCAACCAAGACTGCATGTTCACCCCAGTCTCTTCGCAAACCCAAGCCTTTGTGCCCGCACACACCGCCTACCCTCATTTACGACCTGGACAGAATGGATCAGGGGGCCGCGGTGGGCCGCCTGTCCTGTACGGTGCCCACGGACAGCCTCTGCCCCCTCAACAGCAGCCGCAGGCTCCAGAGACCACCTTGCCACCGCCCCAAGGGATGTACTATCAAAATGGACGACCTTTCATGGATGGTGTCCCGCTGCCCCTTGCGTCAACCATGCCCGATCCGGTAAGGCCGCCATTCCCCCTCTGGTAAGAGGGAGAGAAAGAGAGACTCGAGCTGATGTTTTGATGCGCAGAGACACCGCCGAGGCTCAAATTCTGGATTTGAGTACCCCGATCCAACCAATCTGGCTCCCGTGACGCCCGCTGGATCTGCTCCAGGATACCAAACTCACACTACCCCGAGCCCTTACGCCTATCCCCCTCCGCCTATCCACGATCGGCGCACCTCACCGCCGTCGGCTTATAACTACGACCCACGCCCCTCCTCCTCACCTCACGGCTCACCCTTCCCACCTATGCAGCCCCACCAGGCGCCTATGACTCCACACCAGGGTAGCATACCCCCAGTCTCGGCTCAACCGGGTAGCGTGCCAATCAAGTCAAGTGGTACCCCTCAGCCAGGGGGAGTGACACCGCCGCCAACTTCTACCCCGGGTGGCTCGCAACGAGGTGGCCTGAATGTGCGCGATATGCTGAACCCCGGCGATTCCCAGGGTCGCTCCAGCACTGATAGTGATATGCTCAATGCGCTGAATCGCCGCGGTCCGCAATAGTAATACCTACGTTGCTATTCAATATACTGGTGGAAAAGGTAGGAAATGCACTAAAGAATGCCATACGGGACCGGTGAGGAATGAGGAACATTCGGAATGGGCCGTGTGCTGGCCACACGGTCCAAGTGCCATGTGTTGAGAGCTACAATTTGAAAAGAAGATTTGAGGTCTCATCGGACCGTTGTGGATTAGGCTGCAAGGGGAGTTTCGGAATGACATTCCAGACAATGACGAGTACCTGGACGATGAACGAGACAAGAACGTCACTCTCTGATCTATCACAAGGTCACAAAACGCGAACCCACGAGCTTCACGAGCACCATTTTGAACTTGATACTGAAACTTCCAGGCCTATGGGCTCTGGTCTTATCGGCATACGAATTTTTACTTCCATATCTTTGTTTTTCTTTTTCGATTTTTCTCGGCTTCGATATCTGAATAATCGCAATTCCAAGGATTGATTGGCTTTGCTGAGAGTGTGGTTTGGGATGATATCCAGGTGCATGCAGTTCATTTGCTAGTTTCGATTGAAAATGTAGCATGAACGCATTCTGCACTATCACCGTCAAATCACACACACTCTCCGGCTGTCTTTTCCGTGGAATTCATTTCACAGCTACGAGGCTGCAGATATCATCCGCATTGTTATTTGAATTTCGGGTGGCTATCTTTTTTTTGCACTTTGTCTCGTTTTCACTCATCGCGTTTTTCCCTGTTGTCAGCTTTTTCTTTTCCTCTTTCTTCTCTCCATTTTACATTACTGGGAAGGCATTTGTCTATTTACTACTCTTTTACATCTTCTACGATGTATGTGTGACCATCTGTTTTCTCGCCTATGCGACTAAAATACTTGGGTTGGCTGTGTCATCTTTTCCCTTTGCCTTGATTATTGTCGTTGGAACTGTTTTGATCTTTTTTATATTTGTTTGTCCTCTCATTTCTTTTACTGTTCCCTGTCTTTTCGTTATCAAATATCTGCTTATACTTATATCCGGAGGTTGTTTGATCACTCTTTCTGCTATTCAGTTATTGCCGCGTGCTATTCCACTTTCCGTTGGGATCTTGTATCTCTGAGCGCTTTCTGATGAAATTCTATGATGCGAATTATACCGAGTATTATTCTCTGGCTTTGCAGATCCAATCGATCCCATCTGGACGAGAGCATTTCCTAGTTTTCTCTTTGTTGTGGGGTGCCGTTTCCCTTACTTCCCGTTAGCCTCTTTTCTGATCTAGGGTGGTCTTTTCTGATCTAGGTGGAGTGTTAGAGCTGGATGGGTTCTCAGCCCTAGATAGTGCGACTATTGGCTGCATGGTTTGTCCCTGTGAAGGGGGAATCTTGGCTGCATAATGGAGATCGAGTATTGCATTCTTTTCATGCTACATCATGCTACATCATGCACCTACCCCATTCAGCATACTGCGACCTGCCTAGACCGCGTATGTATGTACGACGTAGACCGGGCACGGGCAGACATACATTTGGGTACATATGCGAGTGATTACCACGTGACTTGCCCTAATCTGGATAAAGGACCTACACATGGGCAATGTTCACGCCGAGGATAGATGGTATAATGTGTGGACATTGACTATTCCAGCCACTTCAATGACGCTAATTAAATATACGGACTTTTTCCTTGGCTTTGATGGCTTAGGACATGGGCGACTCGCTCAAATTAGGCATTATATGCAAAAACGTGAAATGAAGAGGTGAAACCCGATCGATTAGAAGATTGGTGGAATTGACAAATGGGTAAAACCCAGAAATGACACACAAGCGGAAATAAATGGATAATTAACAAGTAGAGAAAGTGAAGACATGGAAATGATCGACGGGAACAAAATGAAATGAAACTATGGATGTGGCCGGCAATACTAGGTAGGCCTGTGAGGGTTTCTGGGTCTTGTGCGAGACAAAAACGAGTGTGGATCTGAATGGTCGGACAATAGGAGATGCAAGGAAAGTGCTTTTGCAGGGCTGGAACGCAGCATGCCAGTGGGATGTTTTGCGGGCGCAGTGGTGAGAACCGAAAGACGATGGTTGGCTATCAGTATTTGAAGGCGATCCTTCATAGTGAGATCGAGGGGTTATCAAGAAAATGAGTCGTGAAATAGCTTATTTGTGGTTAGAGACGGAATCCAGAACGCTGGACATCTTCTTTGCACGAAATGGGTCTTCAACAACCATGCCACGGCGCATCAGTGTGCTCTGCACTGTCTCAACGACCTTGTTAAAAGACGATGCGGCTCCACGCTCCTGTTTAAAGCGGACCAGGCTGAGGTTGGCTTGGTGGCCGTGCTCAAGGACAGTGTAGAATTCAGCAGTGAACTCAACCTCCCGAAGTTGGAGGACTAGGGGATAATTAGCACAAGTATTGGATCGGATGAAATGAGTGACTTACAATTTGCTTCGCTGACACGACCGTGAACGATGCCGTTAGTCTTGTCCAGGTACACATCCTCCATGCCAAAATCCCGCCACTCGCGAAGGAGTTTGTAGAGTTCCTTGCGTCCCTTAACCTTGGACGTGTTGAGTGCAATGACGTGGGTAGCAGGCTTGATCTGGAAAACCCGGGCAAACCAGTTGTGGTTGGCAACTGAGCGGCGCTTGTGGCGGAATGGGTTTGGCGGATCATCCGCTTCAACGGAACTGTCGGTGTCTGCGAGACCCTTGCACATCAGGGAAGAATAACGATTGTCCTTGGTTGGCGTGGTTTGGGGGTCTTTTTCATTGTCTATAGATTGGTTAGTATATGATACAAAAGTAGCCGATGTTGCACTCACTAGCAGGAGGTTCTTCCATATTCTGGGCGGACTTCTTAGTCAAGAGTTTCTTGAAAAAGCCACCGCCAAAGCGATCCATAGATGCCTTTCGTCGGGGAAGTTGCTGTGGGCTTTGTGTCTTGGGGGGAGACGCAGGCTCGAGGGTAATTGCATTGTGCACAGTCGTGCCCCCACTAGGAATGATGAGATGGCTGTCCTTGGGTGGGAGAGCAGGAGGATTGTAAGAGCCCTGATGGCGAGGCTTAAACCATGACCATTTCTTCCCTTCCTGGGCATGGGGTGTGATTTTTTTGGGGGATAGCGGAACTTCTTCAATGGGAGCCAGCCCACTAGGTTGACCAGCATGTCGCGATCCAATGGAAAGGTTCCGATCGCCACCCGCAGAATCAACCATAGCAAATTCATGAACATCGGAGGAAGCGAACTTGCTGGAGTTCTTCTTCCGAATAGTCAGAGGCTTAACTTCTTCCATGGAGGGCAGTGAGCTGTGTGGTACCATCCGGATGGTGGCCTTAACATCGCCGCCCTGAGATGTAGCGAGCGAAGTCCGTGGCTTTTGCTGCCGTCGAGGGCTGATCTGGCTTAGCACGCGGAAAGGGCTTGCGCGATTATCGTTGGTAACAGGGGGGAAGCCCTCGTTTGGTGAAGTGACGAAAGGATCTTTGAAGGATCCTACATCCAACGGTTTCCGTGTACCATTCTGGACCTGGTCTTCTTCAATCAAGCGATCTAGATGAGTTATGACACCAGAAAGATAAGCAGGAACGTCGTCTCTTCGGTCGCGGCCGTGCTCAAAGAGCTTTTGGCGTGTCTCGATAAGTTCTTTAATATTGTAGGATCCGGATGACTCCTTAGAAGTGTTAGGCGCTAGGGTCGTCGAATTAGGCTGAACTTGCTCGGGGCTTGCCATTGAGACTGGAGTTCCCGGTGTTTCGTATCCAGATCCGCCGCTCGTAGTGCGAATGGTTGTGGCAGAGCTTCCATTGAATGCCTCCTCGCAGATCTGGCTGAGCTCATGGGAGACCTTCCGAGTGTCCTCCCTCCATGTGTAGTCTGTATCACGAACCTTTCTGACTTGTCCCAAGCTCTTGACCTTTGGCCCATTCCCTCGCACCATGGTTGGCTGTGCTGGCAGGGATGGGCTGCTTGGCATATCCGGGATATCGAGGCCATCTGCCATAAGTTGTAAGCTGCAGGTACTCGGTGACCGCTTGATCTCATTTGGCTGATTCGGGGAGACAATCTTTCTTTTCTTGAGTTTAGCAGATGCAGATCCATGAGAGCGGTTGCGAGCGTGGTGGAAAGAAACATTGCGACGATAGCTAATCGAGTGCGTCGACAATCCGGGAGCGCGGGAGCTAGAATGAGGTACCCTGGAAGAGACGAATGACTTCATAGAGCTAGGTCCGTGCTTTCGCTTCTGGAGAACCGTGAACGGCGAGCCATCCGGCCCATCTGATTCTTCTGGCTCTTGCTCCTCTGCAATGGAAGGAGGAGGATTCACCCTTGGCGATGATAGAATAGCTTGGCATTGCTCTGAGGACTCTCGGCGGACGGTAACATGGGCATACTGTGCTTCGGATGCTGTGTCACTATGCTTGGGTGACCGGTATGGGTCATAGCTCACCACCGTCCCGGAGGACATTGGCTCCTTGGAGGAGCTGAGGCGACGAGGGAACTCTTTAACAGATGGGAAGTGAGAGCGATGCTTAGAGCTACCCTGACCCGTTTGGCTGCGGCCTCGACGAAGTCTACCGCCAGTGCGAGATATGTGGTGATAGTCACTAGCTGAGTACTCTAGAGGCTGTCCTTGATAGTTCTCCAGCTGCTCATCACGAAATTTTGCCAAAGCATTGTAGAACATTCGCTCATGGGTTGGTCTGTGAGGATTTATTAGCGTCACGCAAGTTATCTCTCATATCTAGCAGATGTTACTTACTCGATGCATAGAAGTCTTTGAATTAGCTCGTCTGCCTTGACATCATGCCACAAAGTCTGCAAATTGCGAAGGATATCGAGATCGATGTCCTGCTGACAGGACAAGGTTTGACCGCAGTCCTTCACCGACAGGGCAGGAGGAGGACCGACGTAGTGATCAATCATCGCATTGTGAAGCTTTTCATATTTAATTAGTAACGGATGCAACCAAATGTTTTGCATGGATATCCGATCTTCTGGGCGCTTTTGAAGAATACGCTGGATGAGATCGGCTGCTTCATCACTCAACTCGGAAGGGATCTCGTAGTCTCCTTTCTTCACAAGCCGCAGGGTGCTTCCCAGATCCCCTCCATCGAAAGGCAAGTAACCAGTCAGAAGAGCATACAGGATGATACCGCAGCTCCACATATCAGCTCTGTCGCCACGATATTTGCGGCCATAAATGATTTCTGGTGCTGCATAATGAGGGCTACCACATGAAGTATTCAGCCAGTGGCCGGCAGGTTGCAGTGCCGCCATGCCAAAATCAGCGAGCTTGACATTATGGTTTGCATCGAGCAAAATGTTTTCGGGTTTCAAATCCCGGTGGCAGATATTGAAACGATGACAATACCCAAGGGCCGCAATTATCTGTCGGAATAGTCGTACGGCCTCTTCTTCCGGCAATGGTCCATTGTTGGATACATAATCGAACAACTCTCCACCCTCGACGTGCTCAAGGACAAGGTACCTATCTATTGCGTTAGTGTATTCCCAATTTCAAAGGTTGGGTGCACAAACAATTCTCCACGGTTTTCCCAAACATCGTAGAGGCTGATCACATTCGGATGTTCAATCAACTTCATGATGACCACTTCGCGTTCAATTCCACAAGGCATTTGTCGGGTGGCCGTATTGGTAGGGAAGTTTCCCATATTACGGTCCATTGCCGCGATACTCTCACTCTGAACCATAGCAGCTGACTTCTTTGAAACGATTTTGATAGCGGCCGTGTGTCCAGTAACAGCATGCTTTGCCAGCCTAACCCGCCCAGTGGCTCCCTTCCCCAGTGTTCGTCCCAGCTGCCATGGTCCCACATGTGTTTTCCTCTTACCTTTGGTCGACAAAATGGATGCTGCAGACATGATGGAGTTTCGGGCTGAGTCGGGCTGCGGGTCGATGGCCACGGAGAGCCGTTCATTTTCCTTGTTTCTTTGCGGGGTCGGGGTCATAAGGAAGGACATCCGGTCTGGACTCTTTAGCTGCTCTGATTCCTCGATCCTCAGGCGCGGTGTCTCGACGACATTTGGCGACTTGGAATGGTTTATCCGACTCGACGCGTCTCCCAAGGGCTGACGCCTCCGCTGAGAGTCATTAACGTCTGACATTATCTGATCCATCGTAGAGGTGCTGCAAGACGTGCGTGTGTTTTCCACGTCTTCTTGAAGTTTAGGGATTAGTCGTGATTCTAGACGCCTATTAGCAGACCGTTCAACGTCAACAATCATCTGTGGAGACCAATACCCAACGCACAACAAAAGTAGATGAAATGCAAAAATACAACTCTTTCTGGGAGTCAACAAAAAGACGTTAGGTGTAAAGATCGGCTCCAGACTATTCTGGGAAAGAAGGAAGAGAAGAAAACTAAAGAGTGACAAGGGCTGGTCAACACCACATCATCGACGGAGATGCAGCGGGAAAAAGAAGAGAAAGGATCTTAAGCGACAGAGATAAAAACACAAGACGGAGGAGGGTAAAAAGCTTGGAACTGTCAATACTCATGAAGGGCAAGAGGTTGGCTTGCATGCTTGGGCTGGACTGGAATGAGAGATTCCTTCCTTCCCATCGGAATGTCATTAGCACCCTCTATTGTTGTTTACTGGGTACGATGTGTTCGTTTGACTCCATGTAGGCATGTTTGCCTGTTATCATGAGATTTGATCTATCAGCGTCGTGGCGAGGCAGAACCATTAAAATTCCTGTCACTATTCACACTTCACACTACTCCGCTCTCGGGACTAGCGCCTTGATCAATGGATTCGTTGCTCTTTTTTTAAAGGAAATATCTCAGGTCCTGACTCAAATAATTTTGGATCTCACAATTCAAACTCATATCGTGCTCTCATTGTCAACATCAATTGCGATCGACCGGGCGATATGGCATTCCCGCAAGGAAGGGGGATAATAACAAATCAAATTTCAACCCCCAGGGCTATTAACCATCTTATCTGTACAGGGGTCTATCTGTGTTGAGCATGCCATATCCCTAAGCTTTGCACGTTCTAGTATCCGGTTCATAGGGTCAAATTAAGAGTCCAAATAAAGTTGCACATATATATCCTCCTTCTTAGTTATATAGATTTTATAGAGCTCCGCAGTACTAGTAGAACAATCACATCCTCGGGTCTATTCAGATACATCTGCATCGTGATATCACCAATGCTGCTCACTAATATGTACATCGTTCACGTCAAGCTCGTCTGCAAACCACCGCCCCTCGCCATTACCTTCCGGTCCGATGAGGACATCATTTCCACTCATCATACGTTTGCGCATCTTCCCTGTCTCATCAAAAGTCCAATCCTCTAATCCATAGCACCGTTTCCAGCGCATCTCATCTTCCACATCCTGAAACTCATACCAGAACTGCACGGCGATGCGATCATCCCGGAAAGCGAAGAGTTCCTTTCGAAGTCTGTAACTACGCTCGCGTTTCCATTTCGCTTGCAAGAACGCCACAATAGATTCTGTCCCGGTAAAGAATGAGTCTCGAACACGCCATATGCACGTTGGGGTGTATCCCTGAGCGACTCGGGCAGGGTCCCTAATCACATATAGTCAGAACGGGAGATGACATCACTAACGTCATCTATTTTGGCACAATCAAATAATAGTAGTCCATCATCTCAATAGCACAAGAGAAATCCTTCCCGTCGGAGGCATGTTGCATGTGTCCAGGGCGATCTGCACGGACAAACAATACAAGTCGGCAAGAATGCAAGGGATGAAGCCTTCACCCTTCTTTCGAACATGGCCATAGAGATGAAAAATTCCGAGACTTACTTCGTATTCCACATATCCTGTGCTGCTTTGACTTTTTTCTGCGCTGTCTCCTCGGTAAATGGAGGTCTGAGATTTGCCATGGTGGGTATTTCAGGGGATATGAAATCAAATTTGTCTTCAGGTCAGATTGCGAAGTTGAGAAGCTTAACCGCTTCCAAGCCAGGTTGGGACCCGTAGACGGCTTTAGTCATGTCCACGTAACTGTACAACTTCTAACGATCGACCGGCCAATGAAGGATAGTTATTTCTACTGTGCCAATAGTGATTACCTAATTCATACAACAGATTCGGTTTTAAGCGGAGGTTCTACAGTGATTTGACCAACAAATTCCTAGCCATATAACCGGCAGTAGATATCGTACTCGACGGACCTGGTACTGAAATATGTATACTTTTGACTCGTGGTATCTCATATAGGTCTGTTCGATAGAAATCAATATTAATATTAATGATCAAGAAGCAAGCTCTCATGTTAGGTTAATTGTTGTTGCATATATGAGGAATATATATCTGTTTCCGACCACAACCCAACACCACTATATACAAGAATCATTATAAATTTCAAGCGAAGATTCATTTGAGGTGGAATAACAGTAGATATTAAATTACAAAGACAATATTTAGACAACTACATGTTGATATCTAGTGACCTTACTTATGATTCTTCTAGCAGCGCCAAGCCATAGCGTCAAATGAACTGTCGGAGTGGCAGTCAGATCGGACCAATACATCTCCACTGTTGTGTACAGATAAAATCTGAAATCAGGATGAGTCGCTATATTCTACAAAGATGACTAGTGGCATACGGCTTCTGCGGTCAACAAAAAGTCAACATGCAACTTGCGGACAAACCGACTCGATCGGAAATCGACTTGGCCCTGCGAGATCAAGATGAAGATGGTGGAAATATCCGTGTTCTGCAACGATATCGGAACGTGATTAGGGTGAAGGTCAATAACATGAGATTTTAGCACAGAATGGAGTGAAAATCAAGTGGAAACTAGGGTGTAGTTCATATTTGGAACAAAGATATCAACCAATGCATTGTTCAATCATCATAGCACCCTATATAGCTTTGTCTTAGACAAGGAAAAGCAGGATAAAAGAAATCTTAATGCGATGTTATTCATTTCATTGAGCCCAGGGCTTTTTGGAGATTCTACAAATACGTATATTTTCTTCCAAGCCCCCCACATTCTATCAACTCTCTCCACCTAAGGCTAGTATCGCGAGTACTTACCCCAGAGCTCTACTTTTTCAACAAACTCATCACCCCCCATGTGCAAAGTACGATATAAATGGTATCGTGGCCACTGCGGTATCAGTGGCTGTGGGCACACAGAAGCAGTGTGGATCGAGCGCTGTAAAGAAGCGAATGCCCGTGAGAGACGAGTACCTTGCCCTAACCCACGTCCCGTTCTCCGTATCACGGAGGCTTTTGCGATGGGTCTTTGTCGTCCCTGTCTTGGTTGGGCTGTGTTGATTCCAGGAGCTCCTGAATTGGTTGACCCTGAGCGGGTTGATAGACCTCGTCGACGAAACTACAATATTGACTCGTTGACTTCATAGTTTGACATCTAGTGTTTAAACCGATTCATAAATAAAATGCAGCTGCCTTACTCTTGAAGAACAGAGTAGTTGTAGATAAGATAATGAAAGTTTGTATATTTAGACATAGTCGTTCGTACATCGTAGTCGGTCTCGAGAACCGGGAATTATTGGGCGATGTGAATATATCGATTTGTATTTCCATCCTTGATGAGTCTCGCTCACAGCCTAGATAATGGTTGCAGTGAAGTCCCCGATCCTTTCTGAACCTGCACTGCAGTTTGTTGACCACCCGTTGTCTCTAAGAGATCTACGACCAGTGGTCCCACCAAAGACATCTTAGAGGTTTGTACCAAATTTTTGGACAACAGGATAACCGAAGAAGATACTTGTGGCACGTATTCGACGACGAAATTTGGGTCGGTGTTGGTATAGCAAGAAAGGGGTATGGCCAAGGGATCAGGATGCAACTGGCCAATTTCGGACGAATCGCCATCCCTAGCCCCCGTTTCGACAATGATGAGCGACGAGGGATGAAATCCGGCATTCCTCGTGCGAATACCAGCGCTCTTTTTCCCGGTCAACGTGCTCACGTAGACTATTTGGTCAACTTGTTGTCCCAGGAAAAATCGCACGCCTGCATCTTGTGCTGCACGATAGGCCTATATTTCAATCGAGCCATCAGTAATTATTCTATTTTTTTTTCTTTCTCTCTTTGTGTTATGGAAAATAAACAGCTTTTAGGGGCACGCTACATTTGTCAAGTCTCCGAAAGGGATATAATCATCTTCTGCGAATACCGAGACATTTGTGTAGCCTCGTAGGGAGAGATGCAGTGCTACCGAGAGGCCGCAAGCACCAGCGCCGACAACAATAATAGAATCTGTCGAAACCATGATGAAGTAAATAAGTGCATCTCCTGTGGGCTATTGTTCGGCTGATATAGTATTCTCCCCGCATTTCCCCCAAAAGAGTTATATTATGCGGAGTTGGAGAAAGGTGCCCCGATAAGAGCTGAGGGGAAACTTGGAATCGGGGGGACTACCGATGTTTCTCCAATTCTGCGTTTCTATAACTTGTATGATTCCTATGAGTCCTATAAACTATGGACTGAATGCTTGTTTAGGATTCTCGAAATTTTCGCAGAATTCATAGAACGATGGTACTGACAACACTTGTAGTCACTTCCAAAGCTAACTAATGTATTCAGCTACCGCTTGAAGACCAGTGTAGGAGAAACAAATGCAAATAAGCATAGCTTTTCAAGAACAAGCACTAAATATCCTAAAAACCTGAAACCCATGAAGCTCATCGGATTCGATTGGGGCGGGGTACGGATTTCTCCACACTCGGAAGCGTCCCCGATGGGCTTCAAAATTCCAAGTTCGCGTTTGCTTTTGTTCCCTTCTAATAATTTCTTCGGTTGATTCAAATCATGGACACTCAACAAGGAACCCTTTGCATTCTAGGCTGCGGTGAGTGTGCAACCATAGGGTATAGTACGTCGACTAATGTTTCTAGGCAACCTGGGCATTGCCATCCTAGACGGCTTGGTTAATGCACCCACAGAGAAGTCTAAAGAGTTACCATTTGCTCGATACACTGCATGCGTGCGCAGTGCAAACTCGGAGAAAAGACTATCCGAGCGATTCGCCGAGTCTTTGGACAAAATAAGCATTTCTCGCGGCAACAATGTACAGGCTGTACAAACTGCCGATGTCATTATTCTAGGCACAGACCCTGCCGATATAGAGACCATCCTGGTGCAACCTGGGCTCCGCGAAGCCTTGACTGACAAGCTTATCATCAGCATTGCAGCCGGCTGGACAAGACAAAAGCTAGAAACCACAATATACGGCAGCGCAACCACCAACGATAACACAGCTGGCAGAGCCTGGGTGGTGCGCACGTTGCCGAACATCGCAGCCCAGGTATCTCAGTCACTTACGGCTATTGAAACATCGGAGCCTGCATTGCCGGAGCGATATCTCCAGATAACGACGACGATCTTCGAGCAAATTGGTAAGGCAGTACACGTTGACCCGAGGTTGATGAATGCTACTACCGCTGTCGGGGGCTCGACGCCAGCCTTTTTCGCTGTTATTTGCGACGCAATGATTGATGCTGCAGTGGCGGTTGGTATGCCGCGGGACCTGGCTCATACCATGATCTTTCAGTCGATGCAAGGGACAGCAACGATGCTTCAGAGTGGCATCCACCCCGCTCTGTTGAAGGATCAAGGGACGTCCCCCGAGGGCTGCACAATTGGTGGGTTGATGGTGATGGAAGAGGCTGGTGTGCGTGGGCATGTTGGACGGGCGCTTCGGGAAGCTGTTACTTTGGCTCGCTTGATGGAGACAACACCCCATGTTAATGATACAAGGCATTGACCTTCTATTCTGGGGGTCAACCGGCATGGGTAACTGGATGTCGGGATTACTGTTTCTATCATTGGGATTGAACTCGAGAGCAGCCTTCAATATAATGTACATATTAAACGTTATATCCAGTAAGAAAATAAATACACTATTTGCAATCGCAATCCACCAAATCTTGAGACCACGAACATCAAAATCTTGGAGCCAAATATCTATAGCAAAAGGAAATTAACAGTTTCACCCTTCCCTACTTATTGCAACGCCGGGTAATCCAAACTCTGTATGCAAATCCTCCGTGAGCTCCAGCTGCTTAATGGGTATACAAAGAAGCAACCCGATACCACCAAACGGAATCGAAATCCACCAAACCCATTTCAAACTATCTTGATAAACACTGAGCACTTCCGCCATAAGGTTCGGGGTATTGTGCAAAGTACGCATCAGCCCTTCACTGGCCATGGCATATGCACCGCCATTGGCAAGCTTTGCACGCAGAGACACATCACTGACGCGATACAGCAGCTCCTGGACACGTGCATTGAAGATGGTGGTTGGGACAACAATACCCCATATACAACCAAAGCTGCGCATAAATGCCCAGGTGGAGGTTGCGGTGGCCACGTCGGACTCGGGCAGCGATGCCTGAATCGGAGGTAGGGTGCTAGAGAAAATCATACCAGAACCAGCCCCGAACAGTATCTGGAAGCCAGCCCAGTCGCGAGCAGGTGAGTGGTCATCTAGGAGCGAAAAGAGGCCACTCGCAAGAGTGAGGAATATATAGCCCAGGAAGTGGAAGACGCGGTATTTGCCCGTCATGGCGATGATCACTCCTGTGATGATGCCGAAAGGCGCAATTGCGGCAGTAATAGGAAGCACGTATAGCCCGGATTCTGTGGCAGTCGAGCTACGGATAGCCTGGAAGTAGACTGGCAGGAAATATCCGACCCAGTACAGCAGGACAGACTGAAGAAAAGCAATCCACAGTGCGCATGTCCCAGTTCCGCTTGAGAACAACTGGAGCGGAATCGAGGGCTCAGCACAAAACCGTGACATTTGATGCCCGTAAAAAAGAAAGAGCCCCCCGAGCCCTAGGATAAGAGGTAAGAGAACTCGCCACGAAGACCAAGTGTATGTTGTTCCAGCCCAAGTGAGGGCGAGCAAAATCGAGATAACGGCAGCTGTAAGGATGGAATTCCCAACGAGGTCCACGCGCTTTAGCTGGTGCCACACGGTACCACTGCTGGGCGGGTGTGTGACTCGAAGGAACAGGACTAACAATAGAATTGACGCAGCACAAAGCGGCAGATTTATGTAGAAGACCCAACGCCATGAGACATACTGAGCGAAAGCGCCGCCCAGAACGGGGCCTATCACCGTTCCAACTGCCCACACGGCTGCCATGAGCGCGACATATTTACCTCGCTGGCGGAGGGGGACCAGGTCACAAATGACGATATCCACGAGGGTGTTGATACCACCGCCACCGATGCCTTGGATTGTTCGTCCCACAATAAGAAGTCCTATGTTCTTCGCACCACCAGCCATGCCACTCCCTAAGGCAAATATGACAACCGAGATGATCAGCATCCATCGCCGACCGAAGATATTTGCCGTCTGACCGAACAATGGTAGGACAACGGTCGATGATAGGATGTATGAGTTCGTAATCCACATGTACGATTCGCCAGCACCAATGTCAAGGGCGATTGTGGGAAGAGCGGTTGAGAGAATGGATGTATCGAGGGCCGAGAGGAAAGTTGTCGCGCATAGTGCTGGGAACACGGCCCAGAAGCGCCATGTTTTCTTTGGAGTGAAATTGGCATTATTAAATTGCGCTGGTTCTTCTTCGTGTTCTTGATGCTGTTCTTCTGCTGCTGCGGGAAGAGTCCCTTGTACAGCTGGTTCGGTCGTCGGAGATGACTTTTCCATCGCTTTTCCCTCGACGGAAAATCTCCTCCTGTCATGGTATGGATATGTCGTGAAATCACAGTGACATTAGGGCATGGGTATGGAACTCACACTTCAACTCCGAAATCCGGTCCCCAAACCCGATCCCCGATCCCCAAACCCGATCCCCAAACCCGCTCCACGGGAGATTGCTGTTGATCTTTGTCCGAAAACCGTTAAAGGCACGTACGGGCCCGGGGCCGATCTACTTGGCGTAGTTTTGCCTGACAGGCCACCAATGATATTCCGACACTGGCAGCAACTGTGGGCCTCAAGAAGACGGCCACGGGAGATCCGAGACATTGCCAATGCCCCTTGTCGCCCCAAAATTTGGCTGAACCCCCCAAAAAGCCTTCCCGCTGCAGTCAGCTTACCCATCTCTTGACGCATAACGATCACCAGGGAACTTATTGACAGATGGCTACATAGCTAAGGCCTCTAATCTGACAGTAGACACGGATGCTAGGAGCAGATTTTATTGGTGTTGATCTAGGTGTGTTTGGCTCCTACATACATGTAGTAACGTCGCAAGTCATTTGCCAACAGGCTATGCATATGTACGTACTACATTATATTTTTGGTGTTTAGGAAAATGAAGTAAAATAAAATTTGCCAAAAGGAGAAGGAGACCATTTAGTTAACTAGCTAATAAAGAGGGGGGGGCCTGCAGCGGAAGCAGCAGGGGCACCGACAGCCCTGTCTGCGAAACGGGTTGAAAGCAAAGTCTTTCACTGGGAGTAATAGGGTGCTGGAGAGGAGAACATTGTGCGATGACTACTAGAAGAAAGGAAGGATAAATGAAAGTAGGGGTATGCCTTGCAATTTCTGCCTTATGCCTACGCTCAACCAGTTGACTATTTGTAGTTGCCGTCACATAATGATTTTTTTGAGACCTCTTGTCGCCATAGTTCCCAGACAGGAATTAGTCCAATGAAAGATAGTTACCAATCTAGTACTCCGTATATGGTCATGCATTGTAATCTGACGATGGTAAAGCGGGGTCGACCCGTTCCGCAACGCTAGCGTTATCTGACACTTCTAGGTATGTAAACTACATATTTCAGACCTCAGTAGACATGCTCCTAATGTCCAGGTCATGCATGCGGTCTATCTCGGGCGACGAGCCCAAATTCTCCACCTTCGTGCAGATCCAACATGACGCATACATGTTGACGCGGTCGATGCAGGCGCCACTTATACGCGCACCAACTCGTTTGGGGGAAAAGCCGTGGGCCTCGAACGTCTTCATATACCAAGGGACGAGTGCCGAGGAGCGCAGAAGTACCCGGCCACCCATCTTGAGACTGCGATTCAATTTGGTAATCTGGGAGGCTGCGGCTGCGGCGCTCGGGTCGAACCAGTCTATGCTGTCCATGACAACGGCGACGGTCAGTGTGTCGGGGGTTATGTGATTAAGGACCTCGTTGACATCTTCTGTGTGGATTTGCAGACCGTCTAGAGCACCTGGGCTGGAGAGCTTGGCATACGCCTTCTTAGAGAGATAATCCGGGTGACACCTGCGGGTGAAGGCACCGGTCATGCAGACCTGATAGTAGGGATTGTCAGCACCGACATGCGTCTGATCGGCGACTGGATCAAAGGTGTCGACCATGTATTTCCATATTGCGTGAGAGCGGGTCTTGCGATCTGTCGGGTTAGGGCCACTGACAGCTTCGCTTTCAGCGTGATCGCTTTCAATCATGGCGAGCTGGTTCTTGGGGACGCCTAGAGCGGCCCAGAGAAAGCTTTCTTGGCTGACGACGAGTTTGCATACTAGTTTGGAAAGCAAGGCCGGACGGATCCTGCTGAGCCAAATATCACGTTGTTCGTTTAGCGTCTTCGTGGCGAGAAAATCCCGGAAGGCGGCACGGCAGCCGAAAATAAATGAGATCCAACGGATGGCGCGAATGGCATGACGTGAACCTCCCGTATCATACAAGCCATTTCCGCTGGTATTAGAGAATACATGGGCATTTTCAAACCAGTACTGAAACGCTCGGCTGGAGAGGTACGGAGAAAGTTGACTGAGCAGCAGGGTACGAAAACCAGGGTGTTTTCCCTCTCCAAAGAGTCTCCAAAAGTCCTCGTATGGCAAGGCCATGTAAGACGCAACCTTTAATTCCAGAAGATGATTCTGCGTAGGGTTCAGATCGACGGCGTGGATTCTGGCCGGGCTCTTTGTCGCATAAGAGAGTATGTTATCTCCAGCGCTAGTAATAGCCAACACTACATCATCTGGTCCGAGATTGAGCAGGCCCTCATCCACTCGAGCATCTTCCCATGTGAAAGCGTAAATATACTCGTTGTTGAACTGTGTATGTTTTTGAAGCTGGTCATCATAGTAGATACGCCAGTGGTAGTTCTGGTAGAAAGATGAGGGCAGAGGCAGGTTTGTATAAATGTTCTGAATTGCAGCTGTAAAAGCTTTGGAGCGCGTTTTGGACACCGGTCTCTCTGCTGCACTAGTGAAAGTACAATTCTGGATCTGGCGGTAGGGAGACTCCGTGGCAAAAGCATCGATTCTTTCGATAATCTCATGAGGAAGACCCGTATAGGAGAAGTGATCCTTATGACGCCCGACCCATATGTAGTACGGGATGTGACCGAGAGAGAAGTTCCGGGTGTTGACGTTGAGAACAGTGCCGAATTTGTACTCAAGATAGTCTCGGCGACTGCCCTCGAGACCGACCCGGTCGAGGTCAAACCATGCGCGCCAGAAGGTCCTCAGGAACCAATTGACGTGGCGTCCAAGAAGACCACCACTGTAGTTTCGAAAAGCGAAGTCTACGTTGGATTGAACGTAGAAATCGACGACTCCTATCAGACCGTCGGGGGAGATGAGCGAGGTGAGCGACTCAATGATGGAATAGTAGTCAGGCTGTGCATATATTATTAGTTTAATACATTTGAAACGTTTCTTTTGGATACTTACCATCATGGACAGGCTATAGGACATGGTGATAAGATCCACACACCCATGCTTGGTGTGGTTTTGGTGGGAATCACTTAAAGTGGGCGTATAACTGCCAGGAAGACCGTTTGCGTAATCCTCGAGTCGAAATTTGCTAGCGTCTTCACAAACAACAATAATGTTCTTCCAGCCAAGACGTCGGAAGCGCTGTCGAGCAACTTCGCAGAGGGACGGAGAGAAATCAACAAGATAAACACTTGAGAAAAACTCAGGGACATTCACAAAGACGGACATAGCTTCGATATTCCACCCCGTTCCGCCTCCAATCTGTACATGATGTCAGTCGTAAATTGACAATTATCCATCACTACTTCCATCCATATCAAAACCACTTACGTCAACCCAGATTATTTCCTCTTGCTTGTGGCTTTTACCCCTAGCTTCTAGCTGCGCCGCAACTAGTGCCAGCATGTCTTCTCTGCCTTGGAGAAGAATCTTTCTGGTTGCATCATAAGCGCCGGCTTGCGTCTTGTAGAAGCTTTCTAGGGCATCCTGTTGGGTGCCTTTCTTGTCACCAGTATGCGGCTTGATAAAGCATGAGTAGAAGAAATGCAAAAACGGTTTGAGAAGACCCTGGGTCTCGTTTCTCTTCAGTCGATTTTTAGACAGAAACATGGACATCAGCAAGCCTCCGAGGGCAACTGCGCTGAATCCAGCAAATGTCATGAAGTCAAGATCAAGGGGAAACATGTTACCACCAGGAGAAGCCATGATACTCTCTCATTCTCCAGGGACAAGAACAAGTGTGCCAAAGCGATTTAGAAGGTATCAGAAATTAGAATTTCTCCTTATCTAGGACAACTGAAGTGGTTGACAAAATGGCGTTTTAGCGCTTACACTGTGAACTTGCAGCTTCTCCCGGTTTTTTTTTTCTTTTTCTATTTCTATACGGAATTATATAAATGGAATCGTTCCTATGGGATCTTTGAGCTTACGTAGAGGTACAAGAGCGCAAGTCTAATGTTTGGTACTAGGGTTAGAGTACTAGGACTTGGCACCCGCAATAATTCTCTTAGCGAAGACATGCATATGCAATGCAGGATGTTGTCAAGCTCGTATAGTCCTATCTGCATTTATATTATTGTTACGTTGAAGGATCGGCGTGATGGAGTATGGTGAAGTTCTAGACCTCGGGATTTTCACTTGATTTATTAATTGATCAATCTTTTCTGATTTTTGGGATCAATAATGAGTCTATACTAAGACATGGTGATTCTTAGGAGAGTACTCTAGAGGAGCTCCGCGCCCTGCAGCTGAAATTCAAATTCTAGGGCCGTTAGTATTGTATTTCAATCGAAGATGTTTTCTCTATACTATACAGGAAATCCGGATCAATCTCAATATATTGCATATCATTGTGTATCCGTGTGTAGCAAAGTAGGTATGACTTATTTTCATGTGTTTGACCGGTTAGCTGGTTCTTTGATTCTTCTTTTCCTAAATTATCGTGTAAGTCATGGGGCTAGGTCAAGACATGTTTCATAGTAAGTGGTGACGAATTGCCCGTCTTGTATCAAGAACCCTTGAAGGTACAAATATTCGCAGTGTTTTTATCATACCGGAATAATATCCTATGCCATGACATGTTGATGCCTATTGTGGTATATGCGCAGATCTACAAATTGCACTAAACAGCCATCGAAACTTTGATACAAGGGTAATAATATAAAATGACAGCTAAAATAGGCAGTTGTCTCATGCGAGATAGTAAGCGAGATAGTAAGCGACAGACACTGTTCACAATTAGTCAATTCGGTGAGAGCTGTACCTATTATACCGACATTTGGGGGTATCTACAGTATATATTGGAGCAGTCTTATCGTTTTCGGCTTGATCTGGCAGCCTTTTATTCTCTCGCATTGAATTTACATACCTTAAGTTGATTATATCCTATACTTTCTAACGTTGGTTGTGCTTTTGACCGAAGAATATGAGTGATTTTCAAGATGAGGGCATTGCCATTGTTGGAATGGGCAAGTCATCCTATTGTTACTATCCTGTTGCCCCTTTGCTCTTCTAGCGCCCCTGTCTCGCTTTTCATGCCTCATATCCAATCTCAACTGACACTTATCTCTTTTCATCAGCATGTCGACTTCCTGGTGACGTCCAGGACCCCAAATCTTTCTGGGATCTTTTGGTGAGCCAGAAACTCGCACGCGGCCCTTTCCCAAGAAACCGTTTCAACGCCGATGCTTTCTACAATCCCCAAAAGGGACGCCCAGGGAATATGCGGTACACAGAGGGTTATTGTATCTCCAATAAACTGGAGGATTTCGATGGTGGGTTTTTTGGCATGACTGCCTCGGATATTCTGTGCCTCGATCCTCAGCAGCGTCAATTGCTTGAGTGCTGTTTCGAATGTCTTGAATCCGGAGGCATAACGCTCGAAGATGTTTCCAGCACCATGACTGGTGTGTATGTGGGCAACTTTGCCAGTGACTATGAGACACTTGCATTCAAAGAGCCTGAGAGGATTGAAGGTATGGCCGTTCTAGGAATGGGCAGGACGACAGTGAGCAACCGCGTGAGCTACATGTATAACCTTCACGGACCAAGGTTTGACTCCCCCTCTCTTAGCAGAGTTGCCAATTTCGTGACTCTAGGCTTCGGATATGAGGATAAAGTTGCTATACGAATGGACTTTGAAAGCTAACACTTTTCATCAAGTGTGACTATGGACACGGCATGCTCTTCGACTCTGTATGCACTACACTTTGCGGTTCAAGCGCTACGTAACGGCGAGATTCCCGCGGCTTTTGTCGGTGGTGTCAACTTGATACTCACGCTCGAGTATCATTTTGCGATTGGCCAAATTGGGGCCCTATCCCCGACTGCGCAGTGTCATGCATTTGATGCATCCGCAGATGGGTACTCCCGCGGAGAAGCCATCAATGTCCTGTACCTGAAGCGTGTATCAGATGCAATTCGGGACGGCGATCCTATCCGTGGGGTCATTCGAGGATCCTCGTTGACTGCGTAAGCATGCCTCTATACCATACTCAATTTCTATTCTTCAGATATATACTAAGACACACGTGTATACAGCAACGGTAAAAACAACGGAATCACTCTTCCCAGTGCTCTTGCTCAAGAGCTGTCTATTCGAAAGGCATATGAACATTCAGGGCCTCTTGACTATAATTCAGTCGGTTACGTGGAATGTCATGGGACAGGAACTCCCGCAGGAGACCCGATTGAGACAAGTGCTATTGGTAATGTGTTTGGAAGCCATCGCGAGTGGCACGACCCATTATGCATCGGGTCGACCAAGCCACAGGTAGGTCATGGTGAGGCATGCTCAGCAATCACGAGTATCATGAAGGTAGTGCTGGCGATGGAAAATGGAATTATCCCTGGTACTATCGGAGTCAAAAAGCTGAATCCCGCTTGTGAGTAGTTATATGTACGACCGTGTGTACCTATCTGACATGCCCGACCTTATAGTGGATCTCAAAGGAGGCGCTCTGGCCGTGGTCACCAAGAATATTCCCTGGCCAGAAGGCAAGGCAAAGCGTTCATCGGTCAACTCTTCCGGGTATGGTGGTGCCAACGGGCATGTTGTGATTGACGGCGTTGATGAGTATTTCAAGAGCATCGGTATCTCTAACCCGTACAATATGGCTCCGGAAGTCAACCCTTATAGCACGATTCTTCAGAAAAAGTTCCTACTGCCGGTTATGGGACATGATGGGTACTCTATGCAAAAGTCATTGGAGATTGTGACTCTGTTGTTGGGTAACCAGACTCACGACTTCCATGAGCTTCTGTATACCATGATCGCTCGCCGAACGCGATTCTCTCACCGTGCCATAATCCCAGTGGAAATCAACGGCAAAAGAAAATTGACCATCGGAGACCCAATAACTGGTCGTACTAACAATAGCGTCCCAATTGTAGCCTTCGTCTTCACTGGACAAGGCGCTCAATGGGCAGGCATGGGCAGCCAGTTGTTGGACTGCTACCCATCAGTGCGAAAAACATTCAAGAATCTCAACATAGCACTTTCGCGCCTGGAACAGCGACCAACATGGACTCTCGAAGGTAAACCATCTTCATTTGCGGTTTAAGATATTGATTACTGATACTCCTATGCCTTCGAATAGAAATTCTCCTAGAGCCCGCAGAGACTAGCAAGATTGGTGAAGTTTCCTTCTCCCAGCCTATTTGCACCGCAGTTCAGATTGCCATCGTCAATTTACTACGCGAATGGGGGGTCAAACCTGAAGCTACTATTGGCCATTCATCTGGTGAACTTGCCGCCGCCTATGCAGCAAACCTAATTACTGCGGAAGATGCCATCATTGCTGCCTATCTGAGAGGCGTGCACGCGACGCTCACTCAAGCTCCAGGTACCATGATGGCCGTAGCACTTAGTTCGAGCGAGGCCGAGAAAATTCTCGCTGAGAACAATATATCGCCAGATGATGCTGTTATCGCTTGCATCAACTCGCCCGAGAGTGTCACTTTGAGTGGCAAATCTAAGCCTATGAACGCTATTCATGGGATTTTGAAGCAACGTTCAATCCTGTGCAAAGAATTGCCTACTGGCGGGAAGGCTTATCATTCCCCAAGCATGAAAGAGGTTGGATCAGGCTACAGTGAGGCTATTCTAGAGGCTACAGCTCGCTCTAGCAATGGTGCCCTGGCGCTTGCAAATGGAGCTGACAAGGAGCAGAGGCCCGTGATGGTCTCGTCGGTGACTGTGGACCAGCTCCAGCCAGGGGACATTAATGGAAGCTATTGGCAGAAGAATTTGGAGCGTCCTGTTCTTTTTGATCCCGCTATGAAGCATCTTCTTGGTCTTCAATTTGGTCCAGAGGAACGCCACGTTGACTGCCTCATTGAGATAGGGGTATGTCCATTTCTTTCTTCTTATGTTAGCTTCTTACCCTCCAGCTGACATTTCCCCCATTCTCGCTCTCTGGCTAATATTTGAATACTCTGTATAGCCTCATAGTGCCCTCAAAGGTCCTATTCGCCAGATTATTGCTTCGGCTGAAGTTGGAAATATTTGGAATGTGAGCCTGGGAATTGCTCCCAAGGTGACATATGACCAGACTCTAGAGCGTGGACACGATGCCGAAGACGACATGTTGCGACTTGCAACTAGCCTCTTCATAAAGGGCTACCCACTCGATCTACTTCACATCAATGGCCATACCACGTACCGTCCCACCAAGATCATCCTTGACCTTCCCAAGTACCCATGGAACCACGAGACGCCGCAGCCATTGATCGTCAATCGCTCTACTCAGGACTATAAATTTGCCACTCACCCACGACACGATTTGATTGGCAGTCGGTTGCCAGGGGGAAACCGCATGGAGCCTATCTGGAGAAATTACCTTCGCCTAGACGATGTACCCTGGATCAAAGACCATGTGGTAAGAATATACCCATTAAGCTTATTTCAGCTCGAATTTCAAAATACTGATCTATGCGGCTTAAATCTAGATTGGAAGTGCCATCATCGTACCTGGTGCAGCATATCTTGCAATGGCTGTCGAAGCAGCAGCCCAGTTTGCTGAAGATACCATGCTCGGTGGTCCAGCATTCCACTTCGAGGATGCAAAATTTCATCTTCACACTGTGACAATAAAGGCAGCGCTTGTTCTTCCAGCCAGTGGCACTGCCGATATCATGATTAACCTACGGCCCACGGATGCCTCCGTAACATCCAACAGATTTGAGTTCAAGATCTGCTCAGTGGCGGATGAACGATGGATTGAGCACGCTCAGGGTATTGTTTCATTCGAGATGACGCATGGAAAGAAGACGAACAAAATCCCTTTCAACAATGAGACGGAAGAACCCATCTTTGAGCAGACGTTCAGCAAAGATGTCTGGTATGAGCGACTGAAGTATCGTGGCTTTGACTTTGGCCCCCTGTTCCGCATTATCGATGAGATCGAAGTTCTGCCTCATGCTTCCCGTGCTTGTGCAAAAGCACCTATACTCAAGACTGCCGAGAAAACCACACCATATGAATCTCGATATGCGGTCCATCCTTTGACTATCGATGCTGTTCTTCAAGGGCGTGTAGCTTCCGTGTACACCAGCCGGGCCGATCAAGAGGCAGCCACCCAAATACCCGTATTTATCGATGAGATGACAATTAGCCCATCTTCATGGGCGAAGAATCAGACGGGCACCATCGACAGTGTTGCGTGGACTGAGGGTGCTCGCAGCGGCGGTTCTCACTCAACTTTGACTACAGATAGCGGCTATGAGATCATCTCGGCGCGCAATGTAAAATGGCGACAATTCGAGAACCAAGGAAGCCAGGAGAAAATGAACAAAGAAGCCACGCGTGAGCCATACTATCGCTTACAGTGGAAGCCAGACATGGATTTCCTGGACACAGATGGGGCCCATAGCCTGTATCACAGTGATTTCCACTCACCGTCTGCAGCAGCGTATCTGGATGAAGTCTACAACATTCGCACGCGACTGGAGACGGTGACAGTTTTGTACATCTGTGGCGCCCTGGAAATGTTCCGTCGGGATGACCTTCCCACAGATCCATCATTGAAGTGGGTTCACGGATTTTACAACTGGATGTGCCACGTAAAAGCTGAAGCGGCAGCGGGACGCATGATTCTGTGTGAGAGAAACGCTACGAGTCTGGATCTTCAGCAACGAGAGCAGCGTATCGCGCAACTTCTGTTGGAGTTACCGGGAGACTTCCCCCAGCTAGAGTTCAACGCCATCATCTATAAGAACATGGTTGAGATACTCACCGGCACAGTTTCTGGCATCGATTTGGCTGTTAAAGCAGAGATACTGGCTCGCGTATATGCGGACGGGTCAATCCACGATGCGGCACGCAAGAACCTAGCATCGGTGGTGGATATTCTGGCGCATAAGAATCCCACTATGCGTGTGCTAGAGGTTGGTGCCGGTACAGGTAGCTGCACTAGCATTGCGCTAGATGTTCTCAATGTTTACGATCGTGATATGCCTGGCCATCATGCCAAGCGCTATCATGACTACACCTTCACCGATATTTCACCGGCCTTTTTCGAGAAGGCCGAGGAGTTGTTCAGCGCGTATCCGCCTATGAATTACAAAACATTCGACTTGTCGGTAGATGCCGCTGAGCAGGGTTTCGGCCTCGGTGAATACGACCTTATCCTCGCTTCCAACGTGATGCACGCTCCAGGAAACACGGATCAACTGCTTCAGAACTGCAGCCGCCTACTAAAGCCAGGCGGCAAGCTTGTGATGCTGGAAATAACACAAACAGGTAGTCTTACCCCTGTACAGTTTGCCTTTGGTACACTGCCTAGTTTCTGGGAATGTCTTGACGATATAGATGCGGATCGGCCACTAGGGCCCTTCCGTAATCTCCAATCATGGGAGAACCAGCTGAAGGGATCTGGCTTCACCGGTTTAGACATGGTTTTGACAGACTTCCCTGAGCCATTGGCCCTAGAGAGTGTGATGGTTGCCAGCAGTGTCAAGGAGCCCGATGTGATGAGAATTGGCCGTGTTGCTATTGTGAGTCTTTTCCTGTCCTTCCTTTCTCTCTTTTTATGTCATTTACTTCGCGTTCTAACATAACTCCTGCAGATTCATTCAACAGCGCAATACGAGCTAGCACGAGCCGTCGAGGATGAGGTTACGGTGCGATGGAGCCTCCCCAGAAATTCTATCGCACACTGGTCCCTTGAATCAATGCCTTCTATCGAGCTGATCGATGAAGGTGATACCACGTATATTGTGCTCGAAGAGCTACAAAAATCTGTGCTCGTGGACATGCGATCGGAGCAGTTCGACGGCTTCAAGAGACTTGTCTCGTCAGCTTCAAGCATTCTGTGGATTACTGGCGGCGATTTGACCGTGGGCAAAAACCCGACACTAGCAATGGCCCATGGAATTAACACCGTACTGATGAACGAAAACTCGATACGCAACCTCAAATTTGCAACTTTTGATATCGATGATACAAGCGCCGCTAAGTCATTTGATCTCGCTAAGCCTATTACGGATGTCTGGACTACAGTTGTCACAGCCGCCAACAGAGCGACGTGTGAGACGGACTTCATCCTCAAGGACGGTATCATCTATATCAGTCGTGTCGTCCCCGATATGGAGCTGAACGAAGAGTTCACTCTAGACACGGGAACAGGGAGAGATGAACAAGATTTTCCAACTTTCGGTAATGTCCAGATGGCACTGCAGACTCCAGGTCTTTTGGATACTGTGTATTTCCGAGAAAAACCAACATGTGACATTGCACTTGGCGTCGATGAGGTTGAGATTGAGGTGAAGGCTGTGGGATTGAATATGAAGGTTCGTTCACGATATCCCTACCGTGCAACGCAGGATTCAAGGCGACTAATTACCATAATAGGACTATGTCATTGCAATGGGCAACTTTGAAAGTGTCAAGTCGAGCAACGAGAGCACTGGTATTATTTCTAGGGTTGGAGAGGACGTCACTCACCTCCAGCCTGGCGACAAGGTCATATGCTTGGAGCGCGGATACTATGACACCTTCCTTCGCAGCCCGGTACAGAAGTGCCTCAAACTCGGCAACGATGCCGACCTTGTAGAGATGGCTACCGTGGGAATCGCCTATGGAACTGCAATATATGCGCTAGACTATCTAGCCCATTTAGAAGCCAACGAAACAGTGTTGATTCAGGCCGCCACCGGTGGTTTGGGGCTTGCGGCCATCCAATATGCCAAGTACGTGGGAGCTGAAATCTACGCCACAGTGGGAACACAGCAAAAGAAGGACTATCTCATCTCTGAGTGCGGAATCCCCGCAAATCATATCTTCTGGTCCCGAACTCTAGAGTTCAAGGATGAACTACTGAAGCAGACACGATGTCGCGGTGTTGATGTTGTCCTTTCAACCATCTCTGGCCCCGGGTTCCACGAGAGCTTAAAATGCCTAGCACCATGTGGAAGGCTTATTGATGTTGGACGTGGAAACGTCTTGGACAAGGGCAATATGGGGCTGTATGCTTTTGATCGGAGCATCAGTTTCTTCTCCTTTGATCTCAACTTTGTCCTGGAGGAGAAACCGAGAATTGCCGAACGGCAAGAATCCCCAACATTATTTCAGGTATAACGCATGGAGCCCACTAACATGTGAAAATAGGCTTTTGGCAGATGCGATGAAGCTCCTCCGAGAAGGCAAAATCCACCCAATTAGACTGGATAAGACGTTCCATATTACCGAGATGGAGAAGGCCCTTCGATACTTTGGTCAAGGACAGCACATTGGTAAGATTGTGCTAACTTACGGCCCAACTTCACAAAAGGTCACACTCAAGGGCGCTCTCCGGCCTCGCGGCATCAGCAGCAGCAACAGCTATGTGCTCGCAGGTTGTCACGGTGGGCTGGGCCACAGCATGGCGGATGCCCTGATTGAGCACGGAGCCAAGAACCTTGTCTTCCTGGGTAGATCGAGCGAGAGCAAGGCAGAAATCGCTTCCTTTTGTAGGCGAGCACGGGGAAATGGCGTGAATATAGTGACGATTCAAGGTGATGTCTCCAAGATGGAAGATGTTGAGCGAGCTGTGGCTCAGGCCGTCTCAATGGGCCCGCTCAAAGGGGTTGTACATGCAGCTATGGTGCTACAGGTGAGTTGGGCCTCACATCGGATTTTGCATATTTCGAGTCTAACATCATCGACATTATCAAGGACGCTTTCTTTGACTCCATGACTCTGGAACAATTCAACACTGCCGTTCGTCCCAAGGTAAACGGCGCCATAAACCTACATAATGCCACCATTAATGTCAACGCGAATCTTGATTTCTTCTTCATGACGAGCTCAACAGTCACATACGTTGGTCACATCTCGCAGTCCAACTATGCAGCATCCAACGCGGTGCTAGACAACCTAGCACGGCAGCGCATCAGCAACGGCCTACCAGCAGCCACAGTCTCACTGGGGCCGATCAAAGGCGTGGGCACGCTGAACCGCAAGCCTGAGTATGCCGAGAACCTGTTGCGGTCGGGACTGATTGAAGCCGAAGAGTCAGAGTTTATCCGGCACTTCAACCGCTTCACGCACCCGCAGCTCAAGTCAAAGCACTTTGACAGTCTCACGCAGGGTCACATTCTCACTGGAGTTGAGTACTCCAAGCACGACCTCAGCTTGGTTCAGGTCACGCGCATAGAACAGGATCGCCGCTCAGCGCTGCTAGTCACAACACTCGAGTCGCGCAAAGCTGCCGGCAGCAGCGGTGGTGTGATAGTCGATGCCAGTGGTGATGACCTACTGATATCCGAAATTCCTGATGACCGCGACAAGGCGGTTATCGTACTGGCAGAGGCTGTTTCACAGCGGCTGGCCAAGCTCATGTTCATCTCCATCGAGGACATCGATATCAGCCGTCCATTTTCTCATTTTGGTCTCGATAGTATGTCCGGCAGCGAGCTGATCCATTGGCTGAGCCAAAAGTTCGGTGTGGGCATGTCATTTTTGCAACTGCTGGCTCCCTCGTGCTCGCCCAAGAGTCTAGCAGGGACTATCTTTGACGCCCTTAAGATGAAGGCAGCAGCGGCAGAAATTTCAGCCCTGGCTATCGTGGGTGGCACGTCTCACGAATCTCCAAACGAATCTCTTGTGTCTAATGGCGTGAACGGTTCCACTGGTATGAATGGTTCTAGTGGTATAGATAGTATTTCGGCTGGATCTCAGATGGAAAAGTTCTCTCGGTCAGTAAGAAGAGCAATTGCCGATTCAAAGCCAGTCATGCATTCTTATGTATGCTCAGTCGTCAACAAGAAGGGTACGTATATACAATTTCCATCTCGAATGGGAAATATACTCACTGATCACGATCACAGGTGAACAACTCTATACATTGTCCGAAGGCACATTGTCACAGGATTCCAGTACGAAAGTTGACTTTGACGCGGTATACGGAATGGCCTCTCTCACCAAGCTCATGACCACAGTCGCCATCATGATTTGTGTCGATCGCGGGCAGATCTCCCTCGATGATGATATAGCTCTAATCCTTCCGGATCTGTGTGCTCTCCCGGTTCTGGATGGTGTCGATTCGGAGGGCCGATGCTTGATAAAACCCCGGACTAAGACCATTACACTTCGATTGCTAATGAGCCATCAAAGTGGCTGTGGTTATCATTCAAGTCCTCCGCTGGCGAGATGGGCGAGACAGAATGGCAAGACTAACAGCGTCTTTGACAATGACTTTGTAAGTCTTTTTCTTATGTACGCCACAAGTATCGATGTGCATCTGACACACCCCACAGGAAGTCATGAAGACCTATCCACTCCTCTTTGAGCCCGGAGAGGGCTGGATGTATGGCTCTGGGACCGACTGGGCCGGCGAGGCCATCGCACGAATCAACAACACCACACTCGAGGAGTTTATGCGATCTAACATCTGGGAGCCACTAGACATGGCCTCGACCACTTTCCATCCTGAGCTGCACCCAGGCATGATGGACCGCCTCGTCACGATGTACGAGCGCACAGACGACCACGGTCTAGAGCGAGGCACCTGGCTCTCGCACATCCCAGCCCAGCATGACTGCGGTGGCCACGGTCTGTGGTCAACACCGCGCGACTGGACAAAGTTCCTCGGCATGTTGCTCGCGGACGGTGGATCCATACTCTCCAAAGCCAGCGTCGATGAAATCTTCCAACCACAGACCATTGGCTCGAGTGATCTACAGGAGCTGCTGACGGGCCCGCTCCGCGCGTCCCTACGCTCTACGGTTGACATGGATGCCGGCCGTATTGAAATCGCGCTAGGTGGCCCACTGTATATGGATGCCATTCCTGGGAAACGTTCGGCGGGCACGCTACAATGGGCCGGTCGGCCCAATCTCTTCTGGTGGATTGACCGGGTCAAGGGTATAGCGGCCGCGACGTTTACTCAGGTTATATCACAGGCTGATGCCAGATTCGAGGAGTTGACCAGCGAATTTGAAATGGCGGTATATGCGGAGTTCACTTAGCTAGGGGTATGATAATGTGGCGCAAAGAATTCAGTCCAGAATGTTCACTAATTTCTCGCAAAATGGATTGATATGATTAATGTGACGTGATGACAAAAGTAGGCCTGAGGCATGTATATCACCTGACCTTATCATCCCACCTTATGCCTTGTATTTCAGGCATTCAATAACATCATCCCCCTCCAAGAACCCCGGAGAACAGCTAGCCTCTTCGTCGGGAGTGTAACTGGCTTCCCTCGAGCCGCGCGCTGTCTGTTTAGTTGCCGCCAACCTTCCAGCGGCTCACACCTTCTTTCTCCGCCTCTCTTTTTCCTTTTTGATTTCTCCTCATAGGAGAAAAAAGAAGCTTCTCTCCCCTCCTCAGCCGTCAATAGTCGCATTCCCCGACCTGACTGCAGTATATCGCAAACTCTCCTCTTTACACTCTCCATCCTCCATCATGACCTGTGGTCCGTTTGGTCTCACATCGAGTTTGATCGGCGCCTCGTAGACTGTCGCGGTCGGAGCATGTCTCTGCCGGGACCAAATGTCCGTCTCAGCCTCGATTCCCGACACTTCGCTTGGTCTCACCTCCTCCGAGATCCAGATCCTCCGACAGCAGCAGCAGATTGCCTTGCAGGGCGGCCATGCCGGCAATGGGGTGGCCAGGGGCAGAGGCACTGGAAGGACCAGCAATTCCAGCTCGCGCGCAACCAGCGCTGCCAGCAGCCAGGGCCGCTTGCTGCTAGACCCTATGAGCCTCCGCGCACTATCGCACCAGCTGGATGGATTGCAGGCGCAGATCAGTCACCGGATCGAATATGTATGTTTCCCCCGCGGTCCTTGACCGCATGTCCATATAATCGGGAAATCACATTTCGTTGTTTTAACATAGGACATCCTTGCTAGCTCGAGGATCAAATGCAGCGCTCCATCCAAAACACCTACGACCGCGCGGGAAACGTCATTCGAAATGCCGATGCGGAAATTGCCCGCACCCGTGAAATCTTGGCCTCTATCGACGAGTTGGACAATGAGCTGGCGAAGATCGCCCATATCCGTGATATTGTCAAGTCATTCCGTGGCCGGATTGAGAACCTAGATCACCGCATTGATCAGAGTTCTCGGCGCCGACGATAATGCCTTCCCATAAACACTCCCTCCATATACTTCCTTCAACCCCACCTATCTTGAAGCGCTCCGAAAGACCATGTACGGTCCTGCGCTCTGCACAACTCACTTTTACTCGACCACTGGATGGTCCGACCGATACACACCTATATTCTCTTCACACAAGTATCCGAACCAGAACACACCAAAGCCGACAGAACAAGAAACAACAGACTATATATCGAATATGTCCTCACGAACCCTTTTTTTTTTGAATGCGCGCCAATCACCGTATTCATATATGTCACATTTCATTACTCTGGGTATCTGCTTGATGAAACAATTGGCTGAAAGAGCTGTATGCCTATGTTGTAGAGACACCAGTGTTGAGCAGGCGACCTCGAACGGACTGCAGTATCTTCATGACTGCTTGAGCTGCGCCGATGAGGGCCATGAGGACTCGGTTCCCACCCGGTGGGAATCCATGAGATCTGATGACTATCATGAAGGGGTTTTAATGTGATTTAAAGCGCATAACACAACTTGTCTTATGCGTCTTCTTGTTTGATTTGATGCTTCTGCTATTTCCCCTGTTGCTTCGATTCCCCTCTCTGCATGTTGCGTGTACATTGCTCCGGGTTTTCTTTTTCTGCGTTGAGGTTGGCCCATGTCCATTGCTGGGATAATTATAGCTTGGCTTGTGGTGTTCTGCAATATAATTGGGAACAGTTTCTTCAAAACGATTGAATCGTACGTCGCTCTGCGTTGAGTCCTCCAAGGTTGACATGAACATTGAAATGTCAGGGTCTCGATTTGAATAGCAAACAGGTCGTCGGTGCAGTCGCTGGAGGTATATTGAGGCTACTCAGGGGGGTTGAGACTTCTTCCGGTGATGAAGGTGGAAATCATTGCCCTGGTTTGATGGACATCCCTGGCCATCGTAGCTAAGATCTCATTGTAAAGCCAACAAAAAGCGAGTTCGACGGGCTCCTCCAGAGCGCCTTGATCATGTAGTTGATATAGCAAAAGGGAGAGCGCTGGCCTGCTGACACGCGCACCTTGAAAGTGTGGCCGCATTGGTTTCGGGTTTTGTAGGACAGGGTGTAAGATTCAATACATTAAAGTGCCCCACGCGTTGAACCCACGCGTAGTCACTAGATTTGGCGAGTGCTATTCACGTCACTCAGACACCGCAGCATCCAACATTGGCACATTCTGTTCACATAATTCGACTGCTGCTCCTTGCGACGACGCGGAGGTATCTACTTTTTGTGAATTCACATCGCGTAGCAAGGCCGAGTCCTTCTCCTGGCGGCGCTCAACGAGCTTTTTCCCACGTTTCTCCGTCTGAGGGAATCGTTTTTCTGTCCCGCACAAGAGGCACCGGACGACCAGTACATCGGCCCATGGCTTCTTGCCGCCACGACTTGCGTTTCTGATTTCATGCGAGCAAGTCACCTCCGGCGTCAAGATTGTATCACAGCGCTTGCAAACCGATCTCTTCAGTGTGACCGGCAACCGAATCTGCGTCTTCATTGCCACGGCGCGTAGATGTGATACACATACCCTTGAGAGGTTTCCCAATAGCTCTTGTTGTTGAGTATCTACTGTGTGGCCATTATCCCCTGAGTCAACATGACCAGCAACAGAGGTGTGTTCATTGTTGTGGACTTTGGCGTTCTGACCCTTGGCGAGTGTAGATTTGCTCTGGAAATATGCGGCGGCTTGGTGTAGGTAATCCAGCCGTGCTCGAATATGGCTCTGGGTGTTCTTGAAATTCTTGACTTCCTTCTTTCCCTTGGCTTTAGCCATTCTCGAACATTCAACAGAGCAACAAGTGGATCTCAAAATTGTGTGCTGCAACCTGCAATTCGAGAAGAGCTTCCATCGACGCTAGACCCAAAGCGGTGAGGCTGAATAACCACGTGATGCTCCCTTGGTGAGGTCTTCGTCCTACCGCCTTATGACTTCTTCCCCTACACCTTTGTCTATCGAGACCTGCCACATTCCCGCGGTCCATACGTCTTCTCCTTATTACCTTTGTCTACTTTCACTTCAACCACACGTCATCTCTCACTCGCAATACTTTTTCCTCTTCCTATCAAAACTCGCCTACTTACGTCGCCATGTCTCACGAGGAAGATCTTATCGACTACTCTGATGAGGAGCTTCAGACCACCACAGCACCGGCCACCACTGCTGCGCCTGCCGCCACGAATGGCGATACCGACAAGCAGGGCGACTTGACTGTAACCGGCGGCCGTCCCGACAAGAAGGGCAGCTATGTCGGTATTCACTCTACCGGTTTCCGCGACTTCCTGCTGAAGGGTGAACTTCTGCGCGCCATCACCGACTGCGGCTTCGAACATCCATCGGAGGGTTAGTCTAACTCATTATTCCCACAAGCGTTCCTCCATTTGTCCAATCTCCAACGTCCGTCCATCCTCGCGGGAGGATTCTTCTGTCGGTATTTGGCAATCAGTCGTGTTTCGAATCTGCAGGCGACATGAGGATTATTGCTCCTGAAAAAGGACAATATGTCTTTACAAAATATATACGTTTGGTCCTGTGGCGCTCTTGCGCTAAGCCTGAGCCTATGTTCCCAACTCTCACGTACTTCGTGGAGATTGGCGCACGCGGTGGAAGACTGTGATATTTATCACGTTTGCCTCCTTGTGAGGCGCACCTCATGTTGTCTGCAGAATATGATAGGATGTGCACAAAAAGCCTGGCTTTTAAGTGTTACATATAGTCATGGTGGTTTGATCAAGCGGCGGAAGATGACCGCCTGCATCAATTTGATGTTGTCGGGGGATGGACGGACATTGCGAGACGACTATTTTTTTTTGCTTCTTCTTTCGTCGAACCCAATCTAACATCGGCTCCGCCTTCCAACAGTCCAGCAAGTTTGCATTCCGACTTCCATTTTGAACGTCGATGTTCTTTGCCAGGCCAAGTCCGGTCTCGGTAAGACCGCAGTCTTCGTTCTCACCACCCTTCACCAATTGGAGCCCGTTCCTGGCGAGTGCCAGATCCTGGTCATGTGCCATACCCGTGAACTCGCTTATCAGATCAAGAACGAGTACGCCCGTTTCTCTAAGTACTTGCCCGACGTTAAGACTGCGGTGTTCTATGGTGGTACCCCGATCCAGAAGGATGTCGAAATCTTGTCCAACAAGGAAACCTACCCCAACATTGTGGTCGCCACTCCCGGTCGTCTGAATGCGCTGGTCCGTGACAAGAAATTGTCCCTGCGCAACGTGAAGGCCTTTGTTCTCGACGAGTGTGACAAGATGCTTGACCAGATTGGTATGTGCATGCGATATACGACTTGACTATCACATCTTACTAACACCCTTCCCCAGACATGCGCCGTGATGTCCAGGAAATCTTCCGTGCAACCCCCGCCGACAAGCAGGTCATGATGTTCAGTGCCACCCTTTCCCAGGAGATTCGTCCTATCTGCAAGAAGTTCATGCGCAACCCGCTGGAGGTCTATGTCGATGATGATACCAAGCTCACCCTCCATGGCTTGCAACAGTACTACATCAAGCTTGACGAGAAGGAGAAGAACCGCAAGCTGAATGAGCTTTTGGACAACCTCGAGTTCAACCAGGTCATCATCTTCGTCAAGAGCACGCAGCGTGCCAACGAGCTGGACAAGCTGTTGCGCGAGTGCAACTTCCCCAGTATCGCAGTCCACTCTGGTGTCAGCCAGGAGGAGCGGTAAGTTCATCCGAGTTCGGCATTGGCTGCAGCGATTTGCTGACCTCCATCTAGTATCAAGCGCTACAAGGAGTTCAAGGAGTTCAACAAGCGTATCTGTGTTGCCACTGATGTCTTCGGCCGTGGTATTGATATCGAGCGCATCAACCTCGCCATCAACTACGATCTCCCCGCCGACGCTGACTCTTACCTGCACCGTGTTGGTCGTGCCGGTCGCTTCGGTACCAAGGGTCTTTCTATCTCCTTCGTCAGCAGTGAGGAGGACGAGAAGGTCCTTAAGGAGATTGAGAAGCGCTTTGAGGTTGCCCTTCCGTAAGTTTCTCCAATTCCAAACCAAAATGCTCTTTGACAAAATGCTAATTATATTCACAGCGAGTACCCCGAGGCAGGTGTTGACTCCACCACCTACATGGCTTAGGCATGTCTCGGTAAAAACTTTGTTGATTTGAAATTTCTTTTCCTCTTTCCAATTGTTATGGCGCACTAGCTCGGGTTTTGATATGTTTTTCTCCGCCGTTGGGCGCTGCCTCTGCCCCCCACCCCCTGTGGCTTTGAAATGAGGCATAACCCTTCCATGTATCCGAAAACAGCAATGGAAGCAAGAATGGGTTAGCCCTGCACAACTGTTCAACCGTATCCTGACCGTATCCTGACGGGAATTCTGGGATCACAATGTGGAGTTGCGATGTCATAGTTATCGACGTCTGCGAGACAAGTCAAAGCCGAAGACAATCAGATAGAAATATGCGCCGCCCTGCGGTCGTGATTCCGACCAGACGACCCGAAGACCCTGCTAAGTTTCCGATCGAGCCGGAGTGGATATAGACACCAGAATTCAATATCTCAACTGTGTTCCTCGTGGTTTGCCCTTAACTGTCGGAACCGGTCCACCTATAACTCTAGGGCGCAATAATTAGCCTCCACTATACCATGTATCTAGAAGCTGGATGTATGTAGTCGGTGGTTGCAGCTCCAATCTGACTTAAAGAGCTTCGTAGCAGCTTTGGTCATCCTTTACCCGATCCTTGTATGAGCGATGTGATTTTGACTGATTCGACGCATCATACTGATCTGAGCGAGATATGTGTGCTGTTTAGGATATCTACCACTCAAAGTCAATACAGCGAGGGTATTCAATGCTGCGACATATCAGTATCTTCTGGTCAAAATTAGAAAATAAAGAGTTCCTGCATGCTATCATGACAACTGTCGAGTTGAACACACGGCAAAGAAATTGGGACATTCGTGAGGAGGCGAGTAGCAAGATACATATAACTAATATGAATGTAGATAGATCTTAGTAGAATTGGCAAAACTCGAGATTTTCTACATGGAAGTACTCAGTGCTTTGTATATATCTCTGCGAGTTAGAAGTAAACATACGGTTGACCGTCCAATACAGAAAGTATCAAGCATAACCAAAGCCCATGACCTGGAATATAATACAGTTACATAATGCATTACCCTGTTTGAGGCGAAAATCAAAGTGAAAACACGAAAAATGGCTTAGCCCAAAGCACTAGCAGCTGGAAAGGCATCGGGTAGCGCATCAGGAAAACAAGGCAGAGACATCAAACCCTGTCCCGAATTTTCAGGTAAATGGCCGTCGGCCCTCTCACTTCAGCGTCGGCTGTTTGTGAGTGCAGAGTCTGCGTTCGCGTGATTTGAATCCGTAACCAAGCAGATATAATATAGAAATGATTGTACTCCGTACTATTACTTAGATCAAGACTACGTTGCGTAATACATAATAATTTAGCTGGCCTCCATGGATTGACAATGCAAATCACTGAATCTGCAATGCATCAAGGACTGACGTGCCCGGAAGTGCAAGGAAGAGTCGGGATGGCATCACCGCATCCGCGTCTCCGAGCCCGGTTCAAACACAACAAATGCCATGGCGTGATCAATTCCGTCAGCTCACTACAGAGCCCTGGAGCTCCGAGGAAATATCTATGGGCCCTACAACGTACGGAGTACTCGGTATGTTGTACGGAGTACTCTGTAGTTAAGTACCAGCTAATACTAAGATACTAGTGATTCCAACACGTTATATAAAGTAGCTCTACATCGTCTCCTTTCCCTAGGATCATTATGGTTAATATGCTTGATTAACGGCTAGGAAGTCACGATCGCAAATCAGTGGCTGTCGTCCGCCGGTCGGATGGACTAGCCAATAATTGTTGCTAAATGGGACATCGGCAAGCGTCTCAGGCGAGCTTCCTGTTTCGGGGCGATCTCGGATTGCCCCGATCTGTTTCCGCGGGCGTATGATCCGCCTTTTGGGGCTTTGTTTTTTCGACATTTAATTGCCGGATTTTAACTCCTTCGATTGTCGGGAAAGACTACAAAGCACATCGTGGAGAAAACGTGCTCCGCACATTGAACCATAGATCATAAGGGAATAACGCCATCTCGTCATAATCCCAAGTGGATATATGTACGTATCCAGCAGAGCCGATTTAACTATGTACACCGTACAACCTTACCAATACCTCCATTTTCCAGCATTTTATAAGCGCTCTACAACAGCTGAACTCCGCATAGATGGCGCCATTTAAAAACCGCAAACTAGAGCTGGAACCAACTGAATTGAAAAACTAGTTCCACGGAGAATGCCCGGGGCTCCGCTCAAGCGCGGGAAAGCAGAAAATTTCTGTTCGGTCATCCACTTAGAACTTTATACTCGGCCCGTTGCAACGTGATCTTTAGCCTCACCTCTGCGCGGCCCGCTATGGTAACTGTCATCCCTGGTTCAGATTCCCTCCTGGGTGTTTCTCCTGGTTTAATTGGAGAATGTGTAGTGCGCTGTACAATCGCTCCACCGTTGATGGGGCGGAAGCCGTACTTTCAATATTTTCTAGGTTATGTGTCGGAGGCTAGTAGTCGTCCCTTGTGGTAACAATTAGCTAACCATTAGCTTGGCAGTGGGTATTGATAGGGACACTACAAAAAAATTGATAACTAGGGGCACTACAAATCTTAGTTATGTAACCTTCCAAGCTTACCTAGCTAAATTTTCTGGCCAATCAGGATCACCACAGTATTCAACGTCAATTTAATTAAATCCTACTATATAAAGCAGTTAAACCACCCTATCTGGCAACAGGGCAGGTTCTATACGAGTGGCCAATCTCCCTACAATTTGAACACCTCCCTGGTGCTTTCCGTTTTCTGATTGGCTCAATCCCCCTATTATCCGCTATCTGATTGGATCGTCGCGTCGTTACTACAGCGATTCGAGGGTTTAACAGCGGTAAATAAGCTGTATCGGACGAATTAAGGCCAATTCGCCAGAATGGGTGGATTTCGGCTAAATTAGATTAGCTTATTCCATTTTTATATGAAATCTTTAAACTCCTCGCTATCTAACTGGTTAGCTGATTGATTCGTAGGCTGATTCGCAGGCAGGTTCGCAGGCAGGTTCGCAAGGAGGTTGGAAGTTCGCAGGCAGGCTGGCAGCTGGTTGAACAGCTAGTTAGACGGCTGTTTGGACGGCTGGTTCGGTGGCTGGTTGGACAGCTGGTTCGGTAGCTACGCTGGCAGCTGGTTCGGCAGCAGCAGGGCTAGCAGCAGCAGGATAGGCAGGCATAGTGATGAAAGGGGTGTAAACAGAGGTAAACTAGTAGGGTAGTTATAGAAGAGAGAAAGATAACATGCGTATAGGATAGTATATATAGTATAGAGGATTTAGTTGCTATAGTGATCTATAGTGATTTTGATTGGCCAAGAAATTTAGTTAGGTAAGCTTGGAAGGTTACATAACTAAGATTTGGGGTGCCCCTGCCAAGTCTTTTCTAGTCCCTCTCAGCTCCAACCCGGCTCGAGGTCGCTTCGGGCTACTACCTTCTTACCTTGATAGCACTCGTACATATCAAAACCATCTACGGACTTCACTGAGTAGCTACTGCATCAAGACATAGTCTTCAAGAGTAAGTTTACTTAAGATTGAAAGTGGAAGGAGTCGAAGGAACAGTGGGGTGAGATGTACTGATTGATGAAGGCTCGTATTGGCTAACGTGGCTGGTACGCCAAACAAATACGAAAAAGATAGATAAAAAAGAATTTCATGAGTGTGCTATGCTATGAAAAAAAAGCCAAAAACTATTTGTAATTCATATACAATGCAAAAAGTCAAGAATTTAAACTGAACACAACAAGTTTCACTGCAGTAAGGAGAAAATCCAAAAACAAGGGACGAAAGCAAAGACACCAATTCGCCAAATAACAAAGACAAAATGAGCAAATGAATGCAGAGCCACATTTACTGGAGCACCCGCACCATGGAATCCAGGGAAGAATGCTGCACTAGTGTCTCTAGGCGCACAGCACCACCAACACCGTGAGCTTGCAACTCACAGAGCAGCAGAGCCATGTGTACCAGATCTCCTCCCGCCTCAAAGAAGTCTACCTTGCCATCATCAATCCGAGAATCAATGGGAAGGATGGTACGCCACGCCTGCTGCACCGCCGCCCGGACGTTGGAGTTCGTAGTCGGCAGAGGGCTCTTCTCAAGCAATTCGTCAACTGGGCGCTCTTCTCTACTGTGTAGAGGGAGCAGAGCCGGCGACTCCCCCTTTTCGTAAACGGGCGTCTTTTCCACTGGCAGGGCTGCCCACAAGCGCAGCAGACTGCCTAACTGCTCAATCAGCAACTCCGCCGCGAACGGCGTCATGACTGCCGATGAGGTGAGCAGATCTAGGTCAACGTAGCCATCGCCCGTGGGAGTCGACAACAATGAAACATCCGTGAGGTCGAGATCAGCGCCCATGAAACCAGGCTCATAGAGGGCGGTGGCATTGTCCTGGTCTAGCTGCAACGCACAGTCGGGCTCGATATTTTGATGCTGCACCACACTGCTGAAGTGAGACCAGCGCTGCCAGTCCGTGCAGTCACGTATGATTTGACGGAAGCCAAGGAACTCATGGGGTAAGTTTGCTACCTGTTGCTGCTGCTGTGCCAAAAGAAGTTCGAGCACTGTTTGACGTGCATCCAAGCGTGCGCGAACTGGCACTACATTCAAACAAGGACCCACGACAGTATCAATGCTCGCCAATGTCGCGGCAGAGCGATTGGCGGTTGTGTGTCCGAAGACGACATCGGTAGAGTCAGTCAGGCGTGCTAGCAGCACCGCCCAAGCAGATTTGAGGACCGTGGCTGTCGTGATGCCATACTGGGGTAGCGAAACCACTGGAACGTGGTGGCGGGTAACATGCAACACGCGCTCCGTGGCGTCGTCGCGCAGGCTGGGCTTGTTGTGCACGACAAAGCGGGTCTCTGGTGAACCGGCTAAAAGTTTGCGCCAGTGTGAGCGTGCAGCGTAAGATCTGCTGGAGTAGTGTCTTGGAGGAATCGCGCAAAGGAGGGAGTAGAAAGCTGACTCTGGCCTTGGTAGGCACGCTGAAGGGACTCCCAGAGGGTTGGCAAAGACACACCATCATATTGCGCGTGTGACAGGCGCATCAGCAGACGGTGTGACTGACCGTTTGGATGCACGGCTAGTACAAACCGTACATAGGGCTCGGATAGCTGGAAATCGTTTGCGATGCCCTTATCGTACAAGCCTTGAGTGAAGGCGGCGAGGTCGGCGGTAGTCTCAACGTCGAAGCAGGGCTGCAACTTGTGCAGAACCACCTGCCAGAAGTGGCCTGCGTGAGGTGCGAAGACCGTACGGAGAATGTCAAAGTGCTGAACCAAGAAGTAACAGGCCTGACGGAGGCGTTCGATGTCAGGAGCACCGGGACCATCGAAGTAAAACCAGTTCAGCATCCAGCGGGACTCGCTCAGATGGCCGACCAGTGCGACATCCTGGAAGTCCGTTGTATGCTGAATAGCAGCGATCGCGCTAGGAACAACACCTATCTGCGGTGCCAGAACCTCAGCCAGAGCGAGATCCAGCACGGGAGCTGTCGCAGTCGTCAACTTGGGCACCAGTGGTGGCGTCTCGGTCCCCGGGGTGGGTGGCATTTGGGTACTTAGATAGGCGGCTAGATCCGCCAGAATTGGGTGAGTGAAGAGATCGGCGACAGTCAAACCGAGTTGCGAATTGCGAGCGAGACTGGCCAATTTCATGGCAACAATGGAATCTCCACCGAGGCCAAAGAAGGTGTCATCGGCGCCAATAGTGGAGGCGTCGACAGCGAGAGCTTCGGCCCAGAGACCGGCCAACCTGCGCTCCATTAGAGTCTCGAGCGGGCGCTTGATTACACGATCCTGGAGGGAGTAGGCTTGCAGCTGGGCGTCCGACAAAGTGTTTATGGCGCGGCCCAGCAGCTTGCGGTCTGTTTTGCCAGATGCATTTGTCGGAAGAAGTTGCAGAGGGATGAAAAGTGCCGGCAGCATGTAGGGCGGAAGCATCGCACGCAGCGCCGCTTGAAGGTTAACCAGTGTTTGTTGAAGCTCTGGCGTAAGGGCCCGCGCAATCGCTCCGAGCTCCATGTCAGGCACGGGGCCAGACTCCTGGTAAATATAAGCCACCAGAACCTTCTGGCCATTGCGACTGGCGAGGGTCACGCTGTCCACCATGGTGGAGTAGCCAGGCAGCAGAGTACGCATGTGGTGCTCGATCTCGCGCGGCTCGATGCGACGACCGTAGACCTTGACCTGGGTATCTGCGCGGCCGAGATATTCAATGCTACCGTCAGGGAAGTAGCGCGCGAGATCGCCAGTACGGTAGACAAGCGAGCATTCAGACCAAAGCTGCGGCTCAGTCATCCATGCAAGATCGCGACGGAAAGCGGCGTTACTGGCCTGCTCGTTTTTTAAGTATCCTCGGGACAGAATGGGACCCTCGATAAGCAGCTCGCCCACGCAGCCCAGCGGCGCTAAGCGATGCAGATTATCAGGCTCAGCGATCCACAGGCGACAACCGACAGGCAGACCGATGTTGGTACAGCGATCATCCGGCCGCTTGAAGGGACCGGCGGTACACCAAACTGAGGCTTCGCTGGGGCCATAGGCATTTATCAGGGTGGGCACGTGGCTAACCCAGGTGTGAAGATTGTCCTCTGTGGGACACTCACCGCTGAGAACGAGCGTCTTCAGCGATGGTACCATTGAAGGCTGGACAAGATTGGCGACAGTAGGTGTGAGACAGGCCCAATTGGCACCGAGGCGACTAACGGCACCTGCTATGTCGTTGAGTCGGTCCTGCTCTGAGATTATACAAACCGTCGCACCAAGAACCAACGGCGCGAAAATCTCGGCATAACTGATGTCGAAGGTGTACGCGGCATACTGCAGCACCCGCGAGTTGGGGGTGAGGTTTAGCGCTGAGCTGAAGGCGACGATGCTGGTATGGATAGCGCAGTGGTCAATCACCACCGATTTGGGTTTACCAGTACTGCCTGAGGTGAAAGTCAGGTAGGCTGGCGATATGGCGTCAACGACCGGTAGCGGTTGGACAATTGTGGGACTGCTAGGCAGCTTGGACGCCATGGTGGAATCCACGACTAGCACATGGTCCACTGCCAGCATCGCCCCTATGTGCGCATGAGGGGGTGCGGTAAGAATGTACTGCAATCCTGTGTCGATGGAAATCTCTGTGAGTCGCGCAGGCGGATGCTGGTGATCTAGATGAACGCAAATTCCGCCAGCCTTGAGCACGGCGAGGAGTGCCACAACAGCCCAGCAGGACTTGTCGAAAACCAAGCCAACTGGATCGCCAAGGGGCAGATTGAGATCGACGAGGACTTGAGCGAACTGCGATGAGAGGTGGTCGAGCTCACTGTAAGTGAGATGACCATCCCAAGCCTCAACGGCAGACCGATTCGGATAGGCGCGGGTTTGGGCACATATCTTATCATGCAGAGTGGAGGCAACCGGTTCCACGGGGGTCCCATCCACCGGCGCAGCTGGGCCAAATCAGACGGCCCTGTCAGCGTCAGATCAGAAAGAGGAGTTTTGCATGGCAGTTGACATAGCTGTTGAAGCAGATGCTCGAAGTGCTTCAGAAGCCAGCCCATCTGGGCTTGGGCAATGCGGGCGTCGTCATATTTCACTTCGACATTCAGATCGGCGTTCGTGCCCAGCTGGCATTCCACGATCAATGGATAAGTGTCAAAGTTTAAGTCAGCATCTGTGATAGCCTCAAGGCCGAGATCCGCAGCGGGAGCGTCGAGGGGAGGCTGAACAAAGAAGAGATGACCGACGTCGATCGACTCTGAGGCAGGCAGCAGCCGACGGATATGCTGAAGCCCGACTTGCTCGAAGGGTGTCATGGCCTGGGCCTGATCGTGAATGCGACGCAGGAAGGTGTCGATGTTATCCTCTTTAATAAGCCGAACGCGCACTGGGACAGTTGCGATGGTCGGGCCCATCATGTCGGCCACGCCCCGGAGAGGCACCGTGCGGCCCGACAGCACATGGCCGAAAATAGCATCTTCAGAGAGCGTGTAGCGCTCCAACAGAAGGGCCCATGCGGCTTTGAGAATGGTAGGGGCGCTGAAGGGGAAGGAAGAGGTAGAAGAGCGAAGTGGAAGGGAAATTGCGTAAGACTGCGAGCGATTGGGACAAGGAATTAGGGATGACGCCGTTGCAGCAAGGGGAGGAGGGGGGAATGGAGCGGGCAGATCACCATCCAGCTGCGTACGCCAGAAGCTATCACGCGCGGTAGCATCAACGCTGCTGAGGTAGTGAATAAACTTGTTGTAAGGAACAACGGGCGGCAAGGCTGCTAGGCCATGGCGATAAATGGCCTCGGTTTCGTCAAACATGGCGGCTTCACTCCAGCCGTCATATACGGCATGATGAGCTGTGTGCACAAGAGAGGGTCGTGGATCCTGGGTGGTGCCGGGAAGGAGGGCAAAGCGCATTAGTGCCTGGCCGTGGTGCATGGGAGTCATTTTATCGGCGGCGAGATACGCCTCCACCGAGTCGCCCGACTGCCACGCTATGCCTTCGTGCATTACTACCTGGAAGGATTGGGTGGCAATACTGGAGTAGATGATGCGCGTGCGCATGATGGTCTGACGGCGGGCGAGAAGCTCCCATGCCTGTTGGTATTTGTCGACATCCAGATTGAGAGGTAACCGGTAGACAGCACGCGAGACGTATGCGGTTTCATCACGCGCTGTAAGTGCCATCAACGCCTCCTGAGATGGAGTGCATGGATAGATGTCCTCAATTGCATCGTCCAGGACCGCACATTGAGACATCGCCTGAGCCATCACGTCGGAGACGTAATTGGGGGACACGAGGCTGAAGGGTACTGGCGCCGTGTTTTCTAGCGCCTGCATATCAGAAGCGCAATCCATCGCTGCGGCCATAGCGCCTAGCGTCGGGAAGTCCATAATATCGGCAACACTGAGCGGCAGGCCTGCCTTGGTGGCCGCGGCCACGGCCTTCATGGCAGCAATGGAGTCTCCACCTAGGTGGAAGAAGTGGTCCTCCACACCAGTAGCACTGACGCCCAACACATGGGCCCAAATGCCCGCCAACGCCTTCTCCATAGTTGTGGTGGGCGCCGTCTTTGCCACCTGCGTGAGAGCATATGCGCCCAGCTGCTCGGGCGTGAGCCCGTTACCGACCATGCGCAAGCTCTTGCGTTCTAACTTGCGCGACGGTGACAGTGGCATGTGTGAGACGGGGATGAAAAGTTGTGGCACCATATGGCGAGGCAGGTCCACCAACAGCCGGGCTTGCAACGCAAGGAAGCGTTCCGGCCGTCCATCCTCCAGCGGTAGCAAGAGATTCTCAACATCCTCTGAGACGGCATCGCTTTCACAAATGAATGCGGTCAGGATCTTGAGCCCGCTCCGCGTAGTGGGACTTAGAACCTCAACGGCCACCTGTTGGGAATCGTTCGTGAATGCGCCGCGGATGCGATGCTCGATTTCGCCTAGCTCAATACGCTGACCATGTAATTTGACCTGCGTATCTTTGCGGCCGATAAACTTGATGGTACCATCGGAATTGTATTTGACCAGATCGCCAGTGCGGTAGATGCGTCCACACTGGTAGGATTCGGGCCACCAGGTTGGTGCGGAGATGAAAGCGGCTGCCGTTTTGGCCGGCTCGTTCAGATAGCCTCGGGCAACGATGGGGCCCTCAATCAGAAGTTCGCCGGCGGCGCCGATGGATACTAGCCGATCCACGTTTCCGGGATCGACGATCCAGGTGGTGCAACCCAGGCCGCGCCCAATGTTACTGGGGACACGGAGCGTGGCAGTGTTCACGTTGCAAGTGGATGAGACACAGCATTCACTCGGCCCGTAAGTGTTGATGATTTGTACCGCACCAGCCCAGCGCTGGATGACCTCTTTCGTGAGAGATTCGCCGCTCAGAGCCAGCGTCTTTAGCGATGGAATGCTGCTAGGGAGCAGCAGGTTGGCAACGGTGGGAGTAAGTTCTGTCCAGGTTACCTGGTATCGGGCCATCGCATCGGCCAGAGCATTCATACGCTCTGTCTCACTAGGCACACAGACACAGGCTCCCAGCATCAGGGAGCCGATAATTTCCTCGAAGCAGACATCGAAGGTATAGGCGGCAAACTGGAAGGTGCGTGTGCCCGGGCCGATGCCCATGGCAGCACAGTGAGCCCGTAAGCCGGTGACAAGGGAGCGGTGTTCCAGGATGCTACCCTTTGGCTTACCAGTACTATCTGAGGTATAGACCACGAAAACAGCGTTGTCCGGCCGGACGCGGAGTCCTGGAGGCGCCGATGGGGGTAGCATGTGTAGGTATGCACCGTCAACTGGGAGCACGCCCTTGGGAGGAAGCAGTGTCGAAAGCATGGTTGAGGATCCTGGATCGCAAAGGACCAAACTGGCATCTAGGTCGTTTAGTAGCAGCTGGATACGACTGCTGGGATGCTCCGGGTTGAGCATGCAGCCCACTCCTCCGACCTTCATGACGGCAAACATGGCGACAATGGTCCATGAGCATTTGTTGAAGCAAAGAGGGATGTTCATCTCCGGCTCAACGCCGCGTGCGAGCAACTCATTTGCCAGCCGATCCACCAGAACATTCAGTTCGCGATAGGTGAGCTTGACATCGAACGAGGAGACGGCTGGCGCATCAGGTTGCAGACGTACCTGCTCCTCAAACTGCTCGTGAACGGACGAATCAATGAAAGGGGGGTGATCAGCGTTCCAGGAAAGAATCTGGTCTAAATCCTCGTTGCTGATAGGACCTACCGGGTCCATAGAATCATCCACGGTGTCCTCGGTGGTGGTGACCCGCACAGCTTGGAATCGCTGAATGGTGCGCGCATATTGCTTGAGTATCATGTCCATCTCGCTGACTGAGATGAGGCAACTATCGAACTGTGCCTTGATCTCCACGCAGCTTTCCATCGGGTTACATTCCACTGTCAGGGGGTACGGGTCGGCCTGTTGGCTCTCCAATGTGACAGGTGTCAGACCCAAGAAGTCGGACTCATCCATCGGCGCGCTTCCAGGCTGGATGAGGAGCAAATTCTGGAATTCGACAGCCTCACGAGCCTGCTCACCCATGCGTCGGATGTTCTGCAGCCCAGTATGCTCAAAGGGAATCATGTCGATGGACTGCATATGCACGGCCCGGAGAAAATGAGCCGGCGACTGGCCCTCGCGAACATGGACGTGGATGGGGACTGTGGCAATTGTCGGACCCAGCACCTGGTTGATTCCGGCCAAAGCGGCGTTTCGACCGGACAGTGTCGCTCCGAAGCTCACATGCTCCGAGTCTGTCAGATGCGACAGCACAACCGCCCAGGCTGCACGCAGCACAGTCGGGAGCGTGATGTCAGACGGGTTGCGGGTCACAGGAACCGAGTGCGTCTGGACCTGATTTGGAGACACCTGGTAACTGCGCGTGGGCAGGAGTGGGAAGGTTGCAGCGGGGGTTGCACGCTGCGCTGTCCAGAATTCAGTGGCCGAGGCCGGACTGATGCTTTGTATATAGTCAATGAACCGATTGTAGGGGACTTCAGGCAACGCAATCTCTTCGTTATATTCCGCAGAGACCTGCTTAGCCAAGATGGACATGGTCAGACCGTCGTAGACTGCGTGGTGCGCAGTCCAGACAAAGTATCGGAGGCCTGAACCCCCCAAGACCGTGAAGCGCGCCAGGGGCCGGCCGTAGGTCATGGACTCGGCCGCATCTTGGGCCAGGAATGTTGTCAGATCAGATCCCGTTCCCCACACAATGGGGTTCTGCAGCAATATCTGGAAGGCACCGTCAGCAGTGTCGATGATCCGGGTGCGCAGAATGGTGCTGCGGGCGACGACTGCTGCCCAGGATGCCTGGAAACGCGACATGTCGACATTCTTTGGCAATTGGAAAACCTCCTGGACCACGTAGGCCGTGGGATCTTGGCTGGTCAAAACCATAAGTCCCTCCTGGAGCGGCGTACAGGGGTATATATCCTCGATTGCCGTGGGCTCGACCTGGCACTTCTGCGCGGCCTCGGAGATGAGAAGCGCAGAATCTAGTGCAGTAGGGAGCAGAGAGAACGGCTTCAACGGTCGATCCTCATGCGGAGCCAGAAGGCGCAATTCTTGAGCCATACCGGCCAGAGTGGGCTGCTGGAAGATTCCATTCATCGTCAGTGCCAGGCCTTGACTTCTGGCAGCGGCGATGATACGCATGGCTCCAATAGAACCTCCTCCCAACCGGAAGAAAGTGTCAGTAGGACGAAGAGCACTACGATCTGGCAGACCCAAGACCTCTGCCCAGAGATCGCGGAGGAGTAGCTCGTTGGCCGTGAAGTGGGCGGTCGTCTTTGCGGAAACAAGACGGTAGGACTCCAGCTCCGGCTGCGAGAGGCCAGCTACCAACCGATCCAAGGCCGCGCGGTGGACCTTGTGATCCGCCGTCAGAGCAAGGCCGTTAAGTGGGAAGACAAAAGCGGGCGACACAGCCTCAGGCGCATGTTCCTTGAGCGATGATATCAACGACATGAACTGTTGTCGCTGCACGTCTGACATCACCAGCAGGGCAGGGGTCGCCTGAATCTTTTGGTTACACTCGACATGGAACATAGCTACTTCTTCAATGGATCCACGGCGGAGGATGGAAAGTACCGCGTGCTGTGTAATTGGGAGAGTTGATTGCACCTGCTGTTCAAGGAGGGCTAGACTCGACGAAATTTCGCTGGTGACCCCGAGATGCTGCACTAAGGACAGCTGGTGTTCTGATGTCCATCGGCCGAGGTCACCTGTACGGCATAAGGGAGTGCCAGGCAGCCACGGGGCATCCAGAAGTCGATCTTTGCGGTCCCGGAGATAGCCCCGGGGCACCACTGGACCGTCCACCAGAACCTCTCCAACACAATCCGCCGGCGCCAGCGCTGCAGGATTGAACGGGCAGCGGATCCACATCCGCCCGAGATTCGACGCAGGAAGGAGCTGCAGAGTAACACTGCCAGCTGGAGAACCAGAGAGCGATAGCCAAGTCGGCGGTTGAATCAATTCGTGTGGATGAATTAACTTGATGTCGCACCATTTTGCGAGCAAAGCAGGGGAAATCTCTCCCTCAGCCACCAGCAGAGTCTGCAGAGATGGCACTTGAGCCGGATAGGTTAGAGCGGCCTCAGTGGGAGTTGTAATGGCCCAATTGGACTGGGAGCTGCACATGGCCTCAGAAAAGCTGGCACCCTCAGCGGGAACGATGATTGTACTGCCGTTGATCAAGGAATACAGCGTCTCCACTATGTATAAAGGCGAGGTTGCAGCGCTGAACTGCAACACCCGAGCATCGGCGTCGAGCCCAGCCACTGGTCCTAGCAGTGAGGCGACAGTACTGACCGTGCGATGCGTCAGAAGTGCCCAGTCTGCGCCGTCCTGAATGGCTACCGCTACTGTATCAGGAGATAAGCAGTTCGGCGGCGCGAAGACCGGGGACGCATCGTCCCAAACGGCCATCGCACCCGCATCGACAATTACCGGGGTGAGAGATGGCTCATCGAAATCGGTAGCATGTTCCCTGCCACATAAGACTACCCTGGCTTGCACAGCCGAAAATGTCTCCTGTCGACTGTCGGAGCTGGCCAGCGGGTCCAGGAAGAGCGAGGTCGCGCCCGCCTTGAGGACGGCCAGCATAGCCACTAGAGCCCAGGCCGAGCGCGCGAAGCTGAGAAGAACTGTGTCTCCCGGTTGCACGGCCAGACCCTGCAAGTCACTGGCCAGAGCACTTGTCATACGATCGAGTTCGTGATACGTGAGTTTGACCTGGCCATCTGTGGATTGCATCGCGACAGACATGGGATGCTGCTCTGTGTGTTTGGCGATGAGCTCCAACACTGTAGCTTCTACTGCCGTTGGTGTAGGCTCGGGGGACAGCTCTGGCAAAGTGCTTATTCCCGGGTAGGCCATATTCAAGTTCGATAGAAGCTGGTCCGAGCTAGTGGTGATGGCGAGCAGCACGTTGGTGAAATTCTGCGGCAGGCTGTCCGCCTGAGTTCCATTAAACATGGATGTGCGGTAGCTGAGATGAATCTCCACGCCCAAGGCCAAGCCAGTGGTAATGTTGAGATCGACATCATACTGCAGAACAGCGGTTAGCACAATGTGGAAGGAGAGGGTGACCCCAAGACTGGATCAACTTACCTCTGTTGGATCAACTTGATCGACAATCTGGAACTCTACTTGTGGCGTTGGACCATCCACCGGCTCGCGCTGGAGTGAGAGAATGGTGTTGAACAAAGCTGCCTCACTTTTACCCAAGGCGTGCTGGATCGAGGCCAGAGAGGTCTGCTGATGGGGCAGACTGTCCATGTAATCGGACCGGACTGCCTGAAGCAGGTCGCGCACTGACACTGCATCGCCGACATGCAGTCGGCATACCAGGAGGTTGATAAATGGCCCGATGGCGTCATAGATGCCCTCCATTGGAATGTCGCGACCAGAGGCCATGTATCCGAAGCAGACATCTGACCTGCCTGTGTATGCACGCAGAACGAGGCCCAAGCCGCCTGGAACAAATTGCTGAGTGTGAGGTCCTGGGACTCACAGAATCTTTGGAGTTGGCCATCTGCGTCGATGTGAATAGTCTGTGACTGGAAAGCAGCCGCGGGCAACTCAGTGGGCTGCAAGTCGGGGAGGTGGCAGGGCTCCAAATCAGCCAGCCGTGCGGTCCAGTACGCCAGGGCATCTTCTGGTGACCGCGAGGCAATGTAGGCCATGTAGTCGCTATAGAGCGGACCGGGAGTGGTAGGAAGGGTGTTCTCGTAAGCCGAAATGAAATCACGGACGAGCAGTGCCATGGAGGTACCATCGATAAGCGCGTGGCTTACCTCCAGTTGGCAGTAAACTACCCCAGAGGCTTCACAGATGGTCAGTCGATGTGCGGGGACTGGCTGGTGGTAGTCTGGGGCGGCCTGTCGCCGAATGAATGGGACCACATCGCCATCAGTGTCTTGATAGACAAGTCGCTGAACCTGCGGTGCGTGGGAACGAAGTACCAGTTGGTCATAGCCCCCAGCACCGTTCAGCGACTCGACGAAGACGGTGCGAAGCAGGGAATGGCGATCCACAGTGCGTTGCCAGGCCTGCAGCAGGCGTGGCACATCCACGGGGCTAATATCAGCACGCGGAACAATCTCAAAGAGCTGGCGCACCTCGTAAGTTCCAGGTTCGCGAGCCTGACTGATGAGAATGCCTTGCTGAATTGGCGAACAAGGATATATGTCTTCGATCGCAGCCTGTGGGAGGCCAATGGTGGGAAGAGTCGTCGTGGTCAGCGTCGTCAGGTCTTGGTAATTGATTTGTAGGAGTGGGAAATCGCTGATGGAGTATTCGACGTCACTAGCCGCGAGCTCGGTCAACGCAGAGGAAAGAATCGTCTTGTAGCTCTGCACCCATTGTCGGATTCGATCCTGATGGTGGATGATGCTGTTGAAGAAGAACGAGACGGTGAGACGTCCGCGGGAGACGGCAGCACCGATATCGAAGACAGCCAGCCGGCCCATCGTGTCCCCGATATTCTTGATGGAATCACCTGCTAGGAGCGGCTCTTCCTGTAATAGAGCCTCCTCGCGCTCGTTTTGCTGTGACTGACCCAGGTAATTAAAGCATATCTCCATAATGCGGTGATGTGCGAATTTCTCGCGGCTGTCAGCATTGAAATGGCGACGAGTGTTGTATGCAAAGCCATTGTCCTTGAAAGCGCGACGCGCATCCTTAGTGCGCTTGACTGTATGCTTGATGCTCTCATGCTGGCGCACGCGACGATAGATGGGGTAGAAAGTAGTGAACCACCCGACTGTTTCGGAGAGATCAATTGAAGGCTCCCACGGTTCTCGACCGTGGCTTTCGTTGAATATAGCGGGCATTGTGCGGTCGGGGAACGACTCAACGAAAGATTGCTGCAGGGCAGCAATAAGCAAGTCGATCGGCTCAGTGCGGAGCGCCGTGTTGGCAGTGGTCAGCAGGAGAGCAGTAGTTGCTGCATCGAGTGTGAACTGCAGCTCCTCACCACCCTCCCACGTCGGCAGCCGCTTCAAGCCCCAGTATTCCAAATTCGCCGCAGGGAGGGCAATTGGCAGGTCGGATGAGGTCGTCAGGCGTTCAGAATACTGACGCTGTTCCTGGACCCAGTTTTGATACGGCATTCTGGATGGACTCTGAGAGCCGGGGAGAGTAGCAGCAACTCCAATTGGCCTAGAATGATGTGCCATGATACTACATCGACGATCAGGTGGTGTGCGATGAATGATATTAATTGTCCATGCTGGTCTGGCAGCATGAAATTGTCGACCACGAAGATGGGACCATGCTCGATATCGATACGGCGCTCAGAAGTCATAATAATCTCCATCATCGCCGCACGGTTGGCCACTTGGTGGCTGACCACCGGAGCTGAATCGTGGGCTGGGCTCTGCACCAGCTGAACCCATTGACCATCAGCCTGCTGGCTGAATCGGGCTCGCAGCATCGCATGGCTGGCCACCAGCTGCGTAATAGCCCGAGAGAGATCTGAGTGCGAAATAGAACGTGTCGCACGCATCAACACACTTTGGTTGTAGTGGTGATTCTGCTCTCCCTCACCTCGCGCCACCTCTTCGAAGTACAGCTGTTGGATTGGAGACAGTTCAAAGGGCACATCATACTGCTCCTCGCGAAGCACAGCACAGTGTGTGGCGGTGATGGCGCGGGCGGCAACGGCGGCGAGAGACTTCGCTTGTAAAATATCCTGAACGCTAAGCTCGATATCGTTTGCGCGGCAGCGTGAGACAACCTGCATGGCCGTGATCGAGTCTCCGCCCAGACTAAGGAAGGAACGATTCATACCTATGGATTCGACGGGCAAGTTGAGAACATGGCTCCAAACCTTGGCCATCTGCTTCTCCAGCTCCGTAGTTGGTAGATGCACAGTTGGCGCTGTAATGTTCACTACAGTGCGGTAGGTCCCATCGGACATGTTGGCCACCCAGCGCGAGATTGGCATCCGGTTGACCTTGCGAGATGCTGTCAATGGAATAGAGTCCAGGACAAGCCAGATAGTTGGGACCATGTAGGGTGGCAGCGCTGCGCCTAGCTCTTCCTGCACCTGCTCGATCTGCGGCTGTGCTTGGGACTGGAGAGCGTCAGGAATAAGCGCAACGCGATCTCCCTCGACCGCAACGGGTTGCAAATCCGTCAGCGCGATCACAGCCACTAGCCTGCCCTGACAGGGACCAGTTTTGGGCAACATGACCATGCCGGCTTCAACCTGAGAACGGGAGCGCAGGTGGAACTCAATCTCGCCCAGTTCAATGCGCTGGCCATGGTGTTTGACCTGACTGTCTTTCCGTCCAGCGATGTTGAGTGTGCCATCCGCGTTGTATCGCACCAAGTCGCCGGTGCAGTAGAACTTGTATTGTGGTTCTTCCTTACCGTGGAGCCAGGCCGGATTCTCAATAAACGCGGCCGTTGTCTTATCTGGCTCATTGAGATAGCCACGCGAGACATTGGGACCTTCAATGAGCAGCTCTCCCACGCAACCAATGGGAGCCAATCGGTTATGGTCCTGGGTATCCACCACCCAGTACCGACAACCAACTCCACGGCCGATGTTTGCTGGCGACACGGTGGCGCTCGGGTTGGCATGCGAGGCCCAGATAGTGCATTCTGCTGGCCCATACGAGTCGATCAAATTAACCTGGCTCACCCATTGATCTACCAAGCTCTGTGAGACTGCTTCTCCTCCTAGAACCAGCGTTTGCAGGTCGGGCACGTCGTGGGGATCGAGCAAGGCCGCCACCGTGGGCGCCATGAATGTCCAGGTGATTCGCATGCGGTTGATGGTGGCCGCCAGATCGTTAATGCGGTCGTGCTCTGTTGGAATGCAGAGTGTGCTGCCTTTCATGAGCGTGATAAAGACCTCTCCCATGCTGACATCGAAACTGAACGAGGCAAACTGCAGCACATGTTGATCGGAGCCAGTGAAACCGAGGCCCTCACCATGCTGGATAGCCACAGTACATACACTATTGTGTTGCACTATGATGCCCTTGGGCTTTCCACTACTACCAGAGGTGAAAATGACGAAAATCGGATTTGTAGGCTGAATGGATGGTAGTGACAGAAACGTTTCTGTGAGCTCTGACAGGCCAGTGATCAGGGCTTCACTGATACCAACCACTGTGGTGTCCACTGAAGCAAAAAGTCCAGCGAGCTCCGGCGAGGCCAACACCACTGATGAGGCTGTGTCCGCAATCACTCCCTCCAAACGTGAGATGGGATGATCCGGATTCAACATCACGCAGCCTCCGCCGCATTTCACCACCGCCAGCATGGTGACAATTGTCCACCGGGACTTTTCGAAGCACAGTGGTACAAGTGACTCTGGCTGAATTGAGTAGTTGGCCGAAAGCCAGTGGGCCAGTTGCGATGATTTTTGTTCGAGCTCGCCGTAGGTGAGCGATCCATCCCATGCTTCGATGGCAGTATGATCCGGCCGGAGCTGGGCCTGCTTCGCGATCTCATCATGCACACACTTGTTTTCAGATTTGGCGGGGATCGCATTCCATTCCCATATTTGTTGTTCATCTTCGCGACTGAATACGTCAATATCCCGGAGAAGACGACTGGGTTCCAGCTGTGTGAGTTGGCCGAGGACGTGTTCGAAATGACCAAGCAGGCGCTGTGTCTGATCTGTACACAGGACAGCATCGTCGAAGCGAGCTTCGAGATGCACCTGTTTGTCTGCCAGATTGCACTCAACCACCAATGCATACGGATCAAAGCGGGTCATGTCAGTGGGAACTTTGACCAACTCGGTGAGCCCCTTCGCCTCGTCCGTCTGAGGCTGCACGACAAACAAATTGGTAAATTCGGTGGCCGCGGCCGCGGCCGGACTGATTCGACGTATCATTTGCAGTCCTGCATGCTGGTGACGCATCATCCCGACATTCTGGTCCTGCTGCTGCTGCAAGAATGTCTGGACCGGCATCTCGCCATCCAGATGGACATTGATGGGCAATGTCGTAATAGTTGGACCCACCACGTGCTCAATGCCTGGAACTGGCACATCTCTACCAGACAGAGTCAGACCATACAATACATCTTCCGCGTCCAAATAACGCGCGAGCACAATAGACCACGCCGCCCGCAGCAGGATGGCGAGGGTTAAATTTGATCCTTGCGGAACAGCAGCCGAGATTGTGCGGTAGCAGGTTACCTTAGCAGTCGGCTGATAAGCTGCTGAGGGCAAGCGAGGGAAAGTAGCCGGAGGCTCTTGGGGCACAAGTGATGCCCAGAAATTGCGGGAAGCAGTCTGGTCGGAGTTCTGGATGAATTGGACGAATTGGGCATAAGATGGAGTTATGGTGGGTGACAAATCTTATATATAAAGCTGTGCCAGTTGATCTAACAGCAGTTCAACGGTCCAGCCGTCAAACAAGGCATGATGTGAAGTCCAGATAAAAACAGTCGACTCCCCCTCCGAAATTAGAGCGTAATGACTCAGTGGCGCACCTGCAACCACCGACAGCGCCTGAATACGCGTCAGGTAATCGCTGCTGGATGGCGCTTGCTCCCACTGTAGGCAGGAGGCGGACGGGGTCAAGACCACCTGATGCGAGGTCGCATCGATGGTGACCAACCGTGTGCGCAGAATGGGATGGGTATTGACGAGCACCTGCCAGGCCTTCTGGAAGCGTGCCACATCGAAACCGGCGGGCAAGCGGAAGGCTGTGGGGGCAACATATGCACCATTGTGGGTTGTCGACATGAGAAACACACCTTCCTGAAGAGGAGTAGCAGGATAGACGTCTTCGATTGCGTCGCTCGAAACCGAGCACTGTCTGGCTGCATCGGCCAGCAAGCCTTCCCGCTGGATAGGATCAATCGGCAGCAAAGAGAAGGGAGCGTAAATGGCTGGCTCCACAACTTTAGGAAGTCCGACACACTCAGCCATGTCTAATAGTTCGGGATGCCCGAAAATGTCGGCCACGCTGAGCACGAAGCCGGCGTGCCTTGCGGCTGCCACCAGCTTCATAGCGCCAATGGAGTCTCCGCCCAAGCGGAAGAAACTATCGTGGCGACCCACGGACTCGGGGTCTTTGCGGAAAACCTTGGCCCAAAGGTCTCGCAAGCACTGCTCTTGCGGACTCTGCGGTGCAGCTTTAGCACCTTGCGCTAGCGCATACATCTCCAACTGCTCGGCGGAGAGACATTGGACGGCGCGGCGCAAGGCAATGCGGTCGACCTTTCCTGAAATGGTCATGGGGATGTGGGAGATGGGAATGAACAGGCTGGGCACCATGTAGCTTGGAAGTGTCTCAGCCAGGTTCTTTTCCAAGGTGCGCAGCTGTTCGGTGACGTCAGAAGCCAAAGGCACGAAGAGCGGTCCTTTGTCCACGGACGGGGCATCGAGATAGAGGAATGCCACAAGCGTCTGTGTTGGCAGCACGACGGAGTCAACAGTGATGTGTAGTGCTCCCGGCATGCTCGCGAGGATGGCGTGTTCAATCTCGCCTAGCTCAACCCGCTGCCCGCGGATTTTGATTTGAGTGTCCTTGCGACCGATAAATCGCAGCTGCCCGTCAGGGTAGTATCGTACCAGATCACTGGTTTTGTAGAAACGCCGTGGCTCCCCTGTTGCTTTCTTGGGCAGCCACATAGGGTCTTCCAAGTAGGCCGCTTCCGTCTTGGCGGGCTCGTTGAGATAGCCCCGTGTCACTAGGGGCCCTTCTATAATGAGCTCTCCAGTGCAACCCACAGGCATGAGTTTATTGGTGTTTTCTGGGTGCGTCACCCACAGCCGCGTACCGACGGCGTGGCCCAGATTTGCGGGATCACTGGCCGCGGTGAGCGGGTCGGTTCCCATACTGTAGATGGTGCACTCCGTTGGACCATAGACAATGCGAATGTCGATAGCCTCTGTCCAGCGGGAAATGTCCTCTCGTGAGATGGCCTCCCCTCCCAGGATGACCTTTCGCAGGGTAGGCACCGTCTCGGGAGACAGCAGACTCAGCACGCGGGGAGTCAGGAATGCCCAGTTGACGCGTAGTCGATTGATGGCACCAGCGAGATCATCGACTCTGTCCTTCTCGTGGGGAATGCAGACCGTTCCACCACCTACGAGCGTGGTGAATGTGTCTGATACACTGGCGTCGAAAGCGTAGGCCGAAAATTGAAGAACGCGGGCAGACGGGTCGCATCCCCATTCAGTCCCATGGGCGAGAATACTAGTGATCAGAGAGCGGTGCTCGAGTACAATGCCCTTAGGCTTGCCAGTACTGCCGGATGTGAAAGACACGAATGCCGGGTGGCAGGGCTGTGCCTGGGGCAACTGCGCATTCGGTTGCGGATCCGGCAGCTGCGCTAAGAAGGCTTCATCGATGATCACGATGTGTTCAATGAGGCCCTCTACGACAGGTACGTGTTGCGCTGCCACGACCGCGATGTGTGATGCGCAATTCTCAACGATATCCTGGATTCGGGTTCGGGGATGGGCTGCACTCAATCCCACGCCAGCACTGCCGGACTTCATGATAGCCAACATGGTGACTGTAGCCAATTTAGACTTCGCGAAGCAGTGAGGAATGAGTACCTCAGGACCCGCCCCGAGGTGAGCCAGGTGGTACGCCAGCTTCTCCGACAGATGGTTTAGCTCGGCGTAGGTGTATTCTCCGTCCCAAGCACAGACCGCCTGTGCGTCTGGCCGCTGCAATACCTGGGCGTAGAAGTACTCATGCACAACGCCGAGTGCAGCGACGGGTTCCTTGTGGTTCCAACCGAAAATCTGGTAGCGGTCTTGCTCGGTAAAAGGGTCGATTGCGGTGGGAGAAGACTGAGCGTGCATGAGGATGCTCGAAATGGCACCCGCGAAAGTGTTGGCCAGATTGGTCGCATCGCCATCCGATAGCAGCGAAGACCAGTAACCAATATCAATCTTGACGGTTCTTTGCCAACATGAATGGCGACGGCGAGATCAAACTAGTATCTGTTAGCAGAGAAGTCATGAACCACCATACAACCAACGCGAATGAACACTGACATCTGTTGGATCATCTTCTTCAAGGGGCCGGAACGAGAGTGACTCTCCATACGGCTGGTCAGATACATCTCTTTGTACTGATACAATGCTGTTGAAAAGAGGCATGCCCGAAAGGTCCAAATTGTGCTGGATCTGGGCCAGTGACGTGTGTTGATGAGGCAGAGCATCGAAATACTCATTCTGCATCGAAGCAACAGTGTCGAGGACAGTGTCTTGCTGAGCTAGCCGTACGCGACACACCAGCATGTTGATAAAAGCTCCCACCGCGTGCTCAATGCCCACAACTGGAACATCTCTGCCTGCGGCAATGTAACCAAAGCAGACATCTTCGGCTCCCGTGTAGGTATACAAAACCAATGCCCAGGCTGTCTGCAGCACGTTTGCTAAAGTGAGTCCGTGGTTCTCGGAGAATCGAGACAGTGCAGAGGCATCTGTGAATGGCACCGGCACGGAACGGATCTGCTTGGGGCTGCCCTCTGCTGGATACAAGGGTACAATGGTCGGCTGCACACCGTCCAAATATTTTGTCCAGTATTTGAGTGATTTGCTGGCAGTCTCCGGCGCATGAATAAAATTGATGTAGTCGCTGAATAGTGCGGGCGGCGCCGAGAAGGAGTGGTCATCGAAGGCCTGCGAAAGTTCGTGGAGGATAACCTCAGTAGAGCCTCCGTCGACCAAGGCGTGGTTGATCTCGACTTTAACAAAGACATTATCACCAGCCGCACGGCAAATGGTCAAACGATGCTGAGGCTGCGCAGGCTGGTATGTTGGTAAAGGCAGGGCTTGAAGAAACTTGATAACGACGTGCTCATCGTGCTCGTCCAAAAGTTCGTGAATCTGGATGCAGGCCGGAGCTTGCTTAAGCACAATCTGTTGGAAACGACCAGCTGTGTCGACGAAGATCGTTCGAAGCATCTGGTGCCGATCTACCACTGCCTGCCAGGCCTTTTGCAGACGATCGACAGTGGTGAATGCATCTCGGGTGGACTCTACTCGCAGCACCCGACGGACTTCGTAGGTGCCAGGGAACTTGACTTGACTAAGTAGAATGCCGTCCTGCATGGGCGAGCAACCGTAGATATCCTCTACCTGGTTGCGACTGGCCAAGCCTGCCGCTTCTAGAAGAGTATTGTCCACGGTCGCGGCCCGCTGGGCCGGGTCAGAATTGGTCTTGTTCTCGGAATTCTCTTTCCCCTCTTGAGATGAGTCTGCAGGCGCCTGAGTTGCCCGTGCGGCCAATTCAATGATGTTAGCAGCGCGCAAGACATCTGGGACCGAAACGACCAGCTGCTGCTTACGGCAACGGGCCACGATCTTCAAGGCAGTCAGGGAGTCACCGCCAAGGGCGATGAAAGATCGGTTAGTCTTGAGCTCTGCGGCAGGGATGCCCATTTCTTCCGCCCATATCTGCTGCATTTGCAATTCCACATCGGTCAAAAGACAAGTCTCAGGCGCATCATCACTCACACCGGCAATCTCGCGGTAGATCTCGTCGGACATCTCATGCAGCCATTGGGTCATTGAAACGACGTGGACTTTGCCTGATGTTGTGAAGGGCAGTGCGGCCAGCACCACCCAGAAGGTTGGTACCATGTATGCTGGGAGATGTGCAGCCAGTTGCGCGGTTATTTCTGGCAATAAGAGACGCGCAAGCTGCGACTCCTCCACAGGTAAACTATGGACACTGGTGTCACGCGGACCATCATAGGGGAAATCATGCAGCGATAGGACGCCAACCAGTCGACCTTGACAGGGACCTTCTTTAGGCAGCAAAACCAGGGAATGTCGGACGTGGGAATTTTCCGACAGTCGCTGTTCGATCTCGCCGAGCTCCAGGCGTTGTCCGTTGAGCTTTATTTGGCGATCTTTGCGGCCGATGAAGTTGATAGTACCATCACTGTTCTGGCGAACCAGGTCTCCTGTCTGATACAGCCGGAAAGCCGGCGGCGACCGGGGCAGGAGGGCAGAAAAGGCAGGAAGCTCGTCTAAAAAGACTGCAGCTGTTTTGACAGGCTCATGAAGATAGCCCCGCGCGACAATGGGGCCCTGAATTACGAGTTCACCAACGGCACCGATGGGAACAAGTCGGTCATGATCGTCGGGATGCACCACCCAGCACAAAGCGCCGTATCCAACGCCAATGTTAGCTGGATCAGACGTGAGTGACAATGGCTCGTTGATGGTCGCTGCGACGGAGCATTCACTGGGACCATAACCTAAGGAAGTTGTTAGTGGAGAGTTCAATTGAGCCCAAAGGAAGAAAAATCACCGTTGATCAGATGCAACTTGTCGGCCCATGTTGTCACATCTACGCGCCCCAGACCTTCTCCACCAAGGGCGAGCGTCTTCAGGGTAGGCACCGAGGCCGGGTCAATCATACGCACCAAAGAGGGCGTCATGAATGTCCAGGAGATCTGGAGGTAATTGACAATGTGGGCAATCCCAAGTGCCGCCTGTTCATCATCGCAGAAACAAATACAGGCGCCGGTAGTCAGCGTGGTAAAGATTTCCAGCATGCTGACGTCGAATGTATAGGGCGTCATTTGCAGCACCCGGCTGGAGGGGAGGATTTGGCCGGCCTGTACGTGTTGTGCGGCGGCTGTTAGGAAGGACTCGTGCTCGACTACACATCCCTTGGGAGTACCGGTACTGCCTGAGGTAAAGATGATATAAAGGGCATTCTGCGGCGTAACGGTGACAATGGGGGCCTCCGTCGCCGTCGGTAGCTGTTCGAGGGCATCTTCGGAGACGGTCACAACAGGGAATTCGCTGTCCCAGAGACCAGCATGATGGACTGAGGTCAGCACTAATGGGGCTTGCAGCTGAGCGAGCAGTCCTCGTAAGCGCGTTTGTGGCTGTTTGGCATCCAGGTTGACGATGACGCCACCGGCCTTGACGACGGCAATCATGGTAACAATCGCCCACTTCGACTTCTCGAAGAATAATGGCACTGATATTTCTGGGCCGACTCCAAGTTGAACCAAGTGCTGCGCCAGGCGATTTGAATACGTTTGCAACTCGCCGTAGGCCATACGACCATCTGCTCCTTCGATAGCCATGGCGTCAGGTCGCGCCTGGGCTGTCTCATCCACGAGGTTGTGAAGACAGCGTGAGACCACAGCGGGCGCCGTTTGATTCCATTGGGAGACCTGCTGCAGCCCTTGTGGACTCATCATACTGACCTCGGCGATTGAGAGATCAGGTTGCCGAATAATTTCTCCGAGCACATGGCTCAGGGTCGTCGCGCAGTGATGGGCCTGTGCCGCGGGAAGCATGTGGGTGGGAAATTGTAAAAAAGTCCCCAGGTGATCGGGGGTTGCTGTCGCCTGGACGGCAATGTAATCTCCAGTCTGTTTGAATAATTTAATATCTTCTTTCACTGCAATTCTATCCGCTGACGCCGACTGGATTACCAAATTCGACTTCAGATTGCACGCACCTCTTCCCACTCTGGGGCATTGCTGTCCGATAACAGCACTGCGCTGTTGAATGCTGGATGGCCTTCCACAGCCGTCCGCTTCTGCAATTCGGACAAGCTTGTCGCCGACGGCACTGCCATGCTCGTGTGCACCTGCTGTTCAGCCTCCGCCAAGGTCTGCTGTACTGTTCGTCCGCCGTCAATCACGGTCTCAGACAAGCCGACGTAGGGCACCCCGGCCACGTATCGAACAAACAGGACATTGACCGCCTCGGTGTCGGCGTACGCCGCGAGCACCAAAGACCAAGCAACGTTCAACACACTCATGAGCGTCAATCCGCGGGGCGTGCAGAAGCCTGTCAGGGCTGCGGACGAGATGTCGGACCGCAACTCCAGGGCAATTCGTGTCTGGCCAACTCTGCCACCCACTGGTGGCACGGCCAGTTGTTCATCATCTAGAATAATTCCGTCAGTCAAAAGGGGAAACAGGGATGTACCTGCTTTGAGCTCGAATGGCAACTCAACATGGTCAAATTCCATGGAAAGTTGTTCGCCGTAGTCGCCCATGGTGAATTAGAAGTGCTTTTGTGTATGTGATAGTGATTAATACGACTCGTATAGGAGCCGTGGAGTGTGCGATGAATGAATGTTAAAGGTGTTGGATGGGATAGGTAGTCCAACAACGAAGCTTCACTGAGAGCGCGAGAGTGTAGGGCAGAATGACGGACGAGACTTGCGCAGTCAGAAAGTCTGGGAGATGCTAGCTCTTGAACAGATTACTACTTCGCGATATGCCCACGACCTTTTGGCATTCGCGATCGCATACTTTCGTGCAGGAACCGACCACAATCCACCAATAAGGTTGTGTGGGGGCTATCGCGCAACCTGGCAGTCACTAGAGGAGGCTTGCCTGAATCGGACAATGCCTTTCGCTCATCCGGAGTCTCGCTTGGCATCAGTAATACACTAGTCATACAATCTGTAGCCGCTAAGGGCTAGACCAAGGGGCCACATAACCACCACGTTTCTGACTCTAGGCGCTGCAAGGGGCGGAAAAGCTGGATGGTGAGGTACAAGGTCACAGATACGGTTAGGTCGACGCTAATTTTCGACTAAATTCTGACGTCCCACATAGCGGCTGATCGTGCAGTAGTTGGGTGGAGCACGATCGTGCTTAGCTCACCGTGCAGCATGCACGGGCACGGGTAGATCTGCCATTCCCTGCTTACCCTCTTTGTGGGTTTGCTGTCACGGTCAGGCCGGGGGTCAAGGGAAAGCAAGACGCGCCACATTTCGTGATGACAATCGTGCAGAGTGCGCAAAGCCCGAGGCGAGCACGACTGCCATTACCAGCACCCGACTAGTATAAGCCCAGCTCGACGAATCCTCTGACCACTCAGCCCCTAGCTTATCTGCAATCGGCCAGCTTACCTTGGCCATTGGTGTCGAGGTAATTGTTCCACTATGCTGGCCCCATTGCTGGGTCGTTGCGGGCTCCCCACTCGCGCTAGCTGGGGCTATCTCTCTGTCCAGTCTTCGAGAGGGCAGCGGTTCTGCATGCATACCAATCGTGGGATAATAACCCAACTGCTACGTCTCATTGACTCCACACAGCACATACAGCAGTATCTCGGCCAGTTTCACCCTTCGCAGGGCGAATCTCTGGCCGTAATCGCTCTCGGGCCGGACTCACTCTCTCCGCCGCGAACCGCCGTGCGCGAGCAGCTCGAACAGCTTGCCGGCTCACTAGCATTCCTACGCAGAGTCGGTCTGTTTCCTGTTGTCGTACATGGTGAGTTAGACCTGGATCTTCCGTCCATATCGAGAGTGGAGGGGCCCAACGATCAGCCGAATCGACTATGTCGCATCCGCACGACGAACTACCAGCTCAGCGCGCTCCTGGAGCAGCAGGATGTCGAGACACGGCCCATCTCCTCTGGTATATTTACGGCCGTCTCTGAATCTGACGGCACGATGTCCTACCATCAGGGCCATGTGACAGATATTGCCACCCAGGGAATCAAGTCCGCTATCCATAATGGCTATATACCGGTCGTGGCAGCATTGGGCACTTCATCTGCAGAGTCTCGCACGTATGCGCTGGACACCCATGATGCCGTTGCGCAATTGGCGCGAGTACTGCAACCGTTGCGTAGTATTTTCCTCGTTCGCGACGCCTCTCCCTCCTCCATGTCGGCACTCATCGCTACTTCTCCCGCGATGCACGATCTATCGCGCGAACTCAGGCCTCATGCCAGTATCATGCTGGGGGAGGCCACGGCCTTGCGCAGCACCATCTTTCCTGATCCCGCGCTCTGGACGGTACTGCGTAATGCACGGATCGTCCAGTCTGCCACCTCTCTCCAGGATTTTCCTTCACGAGAGGCCCTTCGCACCGCCCTTCAGCGTCACGTCATCTCCAATGGGGCCATTGACATCGATGCACTCCTAACGCAGCTTGAGACCAGGGACTTCATCGCTTAATTTGACCACGACCCGATCTCGTCAGCACCAGAACAGACAGTCAATAACCTCGCGCTCGTTTTCACGCAAGCATCGTTCCCATGGCAATTTGCTCCATCGCTGCCATCGGGTGATGCGGAGGCATATGCTCCATGCTCCATGGCCACATCCGTCGAACAGGACAGTATCATCGGAAACATATCAGAGCTCGCCTTGTTTTCCATCTTCCACTTGGATTGGCATAATGGCGTGGCTGAGCGATTCTGGGACCGCATTCGGGAGGACCACGTTTCGCTCTGGGGCTCCCTGGCGGAGACCGATCCCAGTCTATCGTGGTGGCTCACTCGATCCTCCGGGCGTATTAAGCGACAGCTGGAGGAAAAGATTTACATGTGGTACGGGCCCGTCACTTGACCGTGTAGAAGGCGGCTGGGCTGTTCAACCTGGACTTCTTTATTTCATGATGGCTTAGGGGATCGAGGTTGATATAGAGATATGTGCAAGCTCAGCTGAATGATAATACTTGATAATGATTTTGGTGAACGAGACACGTAGATATGTAGTCGCATCTAAGCAAGAGCGCGTGTGTGATAAACTGGTGTTGCGAAACAAACGGTCGCGTTGCCATACTTTTTCTGCTATAGTGCACCGCCTTTTAGGCATGCTCAGCTCAACACCTCACCCGTATTCCCTAGATGTTGGTTTTTTTTTTTCAACTGCGCACGAGTTACTTTTGCTTAGGAGAAGGTGCAGAACAAGCCTCATTTATCAATCAGTGCGTAAATCTGAATTATCAAGTGCTTTTAATACTTGTAGATGGTGCAGTTACAGATGCACCTGAGCACCTCACGGCGCCGATAATATATATATATCCAGAGACCCCCAATCGCTGTTGTAGCCACTGGCAACAACGCAATAGCCACGAGATAGTAGGATACTTAAGCGAGTACCTTATGGATAAGATGCAGATCCGAGAAACTACCTACATATCTAATAATATCAATTTTCAAGGTCAATGGCAATTCGAGTAAGATATATGCGTTGAAATGGCCCGTTTTCAAGGTTCCAAGCCTCCCGTCCGGGCCGACCCGGCAATTCGGTCGAGATCAACATGACAGAGAAAAAATTGAGCCGCCTAGGCTAGGCGTCAACATATTTTTTTCCCCATCGCGAACGCCAGACCCTGCCATATATTCTTCATTTCTTTGTCTCTTTTTCTCTTTGTCTAAGCATCGTCGTTGACGGTGGGGCGCAATCGCGACGGGTGGGTCTTGTGAGATGTTGAGCCCTAAGCGTCTCACCGTGCAGCATTCCCAAGGTTGCCGCCAATCTGACACACCAAAATAGCCCGGCCTCTATACGAGGCTAGAGGCGCTTGGGGGGCCAGAAATGCGTGGGACCAATGCCGATCAGGCAGCCATTCTAAAGGCCAAAACCCGACGGCCGATCGACTGTGAGATTTAATTCAATTTAAGAATGTCGCCCGTCAGCACCTTGTGACTTTTCTCCGCTCGTCTGTTCTGTTGTTCTTCTATCACTGTCTTTGATCTTTGAGTGCTGTTACACTCTTGTTGGCCGTTATTATGGGTTGGCCAACTCATTGTGGTATGTTCTTCTTCTATTAATCTTCTGGGCCTTGACTGATCTTGATAGATTTGTCCAGCGAGGACGCTCAATATGCCTACTGCGCTAACGGGCCCGCCGCTGTCTTCTTCACAGTTATATTCGGACTCACCTGGATCGCCCATTTCGCTCAAGCGGTCATGTACCGGAAGAAGTTCTGCTGGGTGATTGTAGTGGGCACAGTGTGGCAATGCATCGGAATGATTATGCGCACCTACTCGACCATCGATCAAACCAAGTCGACGACCACGGCCGCCGGACAGCTGTTGATTCTTCTGACGCCCTTATGGGTGAACGCCTTTGTGTACATGATCTTCGGCCGCATGGTCTACTACTTCTTACCAGAGAAGAAGGTGGCAGGCATTCGGGCCGAAAGACTGGCCCAAATCTTCATCTGGCTTGATGTGAGGTGAGTTTCGCCCCGAAAGGCGGCCCTGGGTCAACTGTCCAGGACACTCTTCTTGTGTAATGAAACTAGCTGACTCTGATCTGACAGCTCTTTCATTGTTCAAGCAACTGGTGGTATCATGGACTCGGACTTTAGCACCGAGATGAACAAAATCGGACTGCACATCTACACAGCCGGCATTGCAGCGCAACAGTTCTTCATCCTGTGCTTCTGCGGACTACTATTCGCCTTTCACCGTCGGATGCAAGAGCGTGGTAGCATTTCTCGTGGCGGTGGCTGGCGCCCATTGGTGATGGCCATGTGGGCCACTTTGACATTCATCACGGTAGGTCACCTTTCCAGGACCATTAATTACAGACGACTAATGCATATTAGATTCGAATCATCTACCGTCTGATTGAATTTGCCGATACCGACAAGGCCGGGACAAGCCCCTTGACCCTTCACGAGGCACCCTTTTACTGCCTGGAATTACTGCCCATGCTCTCCGCCATGGTCATCTGGAACATCTGGCACCCTGGCCGTTATCTCCAAGGAGATGACTGTGACTTTCCCAAGAAAGTAAAGCTGTCTCGCAATGAAAAGAAGATGATAAAGCAAGAAGCCAAAGATAGCAAGCGCCGGGGTCATCGTCGCTCGTCTAGTCGTAAGGGTGCACGTGTTTCTGAGTCTCACCCGGCGAATTCGTTCGACGAAGGGGCTCTGGAGTCGCAGGGTTATCCATTGCGAGGACATAGATAATCAGCTACATATCAAGTAGGGAGTGCATACAGAGAGAGTTTTTCAGACATGATCAGCAAAGTGCCTATTGTAATTCCAAGCATTCAGATTTACTTTCAACAGTTACTTGTGTCACAAACACTCGAACATGTATCAATGCCGGATTTCAAATACTATCTGCATTATCTTACAAGTTGTTCAATCTAAGTCTGTCGAGAACGGACATTCACACTGGCAAGAGAGAGGTATAAGTACTAACAGTTAGAGGGACATTCTATAGGGTAGTCCTGGAAGATCAGTAGCAAAACCTATCCTCCGTGGCCGCACGAATCATAAGCTTAATCAGGCAAATGGAAAATCTAATATGATGTGACCGGAGTTTTGTTGGAACTCTCGTGTGTAAATAGAAACAGAGAGTATCCCGCTCACCTGGGCAGGCTTAACCTGCCACTAGACCCAGGAAAGAATGCAAGAACAAAGAAGAGACACCTGGGTACGCTAGCCCCGTCCCAGAGGCAAATGAACCGAAGATGCAGAGAAACCAGAAAATTGAAGATGATAATATATCCCAAACCCATTCTTATTTATAGAACAGCACCTATATGCAAGCATCATAAACCCTCGTCTGCCCTTCAAAATCTGAAATATCCAACTGCACCCCAGCATGAACCAACATCTCAACTAGTTCTTGCTGGTTCGACTCACAAGCCATATGCAGCGCGGTACGTCCCCACCAATCCTGATCATTCACAGCACGGGCTGAATGCTCAATTAGGACGCGCACAACCCCCGGCTGCTGAGCCTGTACGGCGATATGGAGTGCTGTCTCACCCTTTCGGGTAACCCAGCTGATTAGGTCTCGAGGTGGGGAGCTAGATAGTAGCAGTCGCACTACACCTGCGTGACCTTGTTGCGCGGCTGAATGTAGTATCCTACTGCTTGTACCATATAAAACAGCCTCTCTTTTGTTTAACACATTCCTTATTCTCTAGTGGTATATTAGTAGTCAGCAGCCACTTATCGCGATTATATAAATATATACCAAGATAGATATCGGAGGAGAACCCTCCTTTTATCAATTACACTCATTTTACCCTTTGGTCCAGTATCCTACTGCTCGTACCATACAAAACAGCCTCTCTTTTGTTTAACAGTTAATATAGATTAGATTCTAACTATAGAAATACCTACTGATAGTCTAATAAAAGCTTTACCCCGCTAGAAATAAGAACAGTTTAGGGAATTGCTTGGAATATCTGAGATTAGTCATCTGATTAGTTATGAAAGCAGATATTAAAGAGAATTTTATTAATTGAAGACAGCTCTTGAAGCTCTAAATTGTGATTACTTCAAAAGCTAGGGGGTGTATCAGAATCTAGGATGAATACTGTTATTTTTCATCCCTGATACAGTTGGGTCATATGACTGACTAGGCTGGTTTTTCTGCAGAAAAACTAACTCAGATGGTTTTTCGCCTGAAAAACCAGTCCCGCAGTTTTTCGCCCGAAAAACATCCTTTCATTTTGTTTTGTTTGTTTTGATTACTAAGTTGTCCACAAGATTGTCATGTTTTAGGACTATTGTCATTTTTAGAGAGTTAGAGAATTAATTGAGATTTTTCTGCCACATATACATTCGCCTTACCACCGTTTTTCCGTCACTATGATATACGCGCCGAGGGCGTTGATATATAATGAATACTTATTCCTGTAAGGGCGCTAAACCTAACTTAGCTAGTATTATATTTAATGGTCTAACGCGAGCGCTGGGTGAAATGACCACGATTTCCCCTCGAAAGACCACGCACAAACGTGGTCTTTTCGCCGTCACCCCGACTTACTCCGTACAATCTATCCGTACAATATACGGAATCCATAGCTCTGTTTATCTCAACTCCGCTAGCTTAATCAACTAGACATAACAAGAAATAGCGTCCCTCAATCGTATCAGCCCAGGGCCATTAGCCTATCATAACCTCTGATCGACCCTCTTAGTACAAAGTGTTTTCTGTATTCACAAATTCCAATCACGCTTTTCTCTCCTTTTTATTTTACATCCGTGATGTTTCGAGGGAATTCGACTGCAGATGGTAGTCGGGGGCCCCTGTGAGATTAACTTGGTTTCAGTGAGACGAGGCTATTGGATATTAATGGTCAAACTTGGTATTTAATATTATGGGTACTTCATATATATACGGAGTCCAATTTCAGGCCTATGGCTGGGGCGCAGTCATGACATCTGTGGCTTTCCCCTACCGTAAAACCTTTCATAAGACCGATTGTGGCTGAAGCTGAGCAATACGATGGCTTTTATATAGGAAGATCTGTTTCCGGATCTCCGCAAACGTGGTTCATACCCTAGTTCATCTGAATGTGTACAACATACATAGATATTGCAATAGAATACGGAGTATACAGAGTTGTGTCTATTTCCGGCTCCGAAGGAAGATGGAAGAGAGGTGTCGAATGTACTGTCATCAATGTGGTTCCACCTGCACAACGGGTTATTATTCGTGCAGTTTTTATTATTATATTGCATATTCCGTTCCCCCCAGAGATCTGGACCCCAGCTTGATATATGATCCATGTTCTAGCCCTTTAATATTGAGCTGGAACAGCGAAGACACATTGCAGCCATTGCAGCCATTGCAGCCATTGCAGCCATGCCTGCATTTCACACTCTTTGAGCATGCCGTAAAATATTAAACCTATTTTTATGTCATTAGCAGATTGAATGAACCCAAAAAAATTCCCCGATGTCAGAAAGATACTTGGGGCCGATCCCTTGATGCGGTCGGACAAGCTGCAAGCATCATTGCTTCGGCACGCGCGTCGATCACTACTTTGGTATGTTGGGATTATCAACTCCGCCTCCCCCTTCTAAGGCATGTGGACAGTCGATCCTGGACATCCCTTGTAATTATTCTCTCAGCCTCTCGCCTTGTGCAGGACCCATTGGTGAACTATCGATATCTCCTAGTCGGGCAGTTTGAACGAGTCTGAAATGATCAAAAGTCGCCAATCTCCTTGTATCGGGGTTGATGGCCTTTTTACTCTTTGTATCCCGATAACCTCTTCCATAAATACAACATTCTTTCCAAGGTTCAAGAGAATGTCGCGGTGGGGAGGAAGAGGGGATATTTGACCCCTCCTACCGTTGTTCCAAGTCGTACAACACACGATGCACAATGCCCTGTGGCCATGTCCTGTGGTACATCAGTCCGGTCGTCGATTGGATGTCGATCAGGGATACAAAATTGATGCGTTCATCTGCATGTTGTCCGAACCACCCCCAGGTACCGGTCCAGATACCGGCCCAGGTACCGTATACATGCACAGTTGATGCCGTGTATGGGATTCGGGAGCCGAACTAGACCTATCTCCTTGGAATGGTTCAAAGAATGTGCCCGATATGCCGTCCTGATTTGAGGAACTGGAGATACAGGTGTATGCTGTTTACTTCGGTAAGACTACACTGGAAGATAAACCCACGGTCCATGTTTCCAGAAAACACCTGGGCACGTACAAAAGTACTTCGCTTCATTGGCGGGATTCCCGATTATAGGTTATTCTGGACGAATCTGGAGTACGGAGTACTTTGACACTATATATCTTGCCCAATGTTAGTTCCGGCCGAGGTAGGTGGGTTTTTGGAGTGGAGGTAGGTGACGAGACCACCGACGCGGCAAAAAACGCGTCGTTGGAGTGCTCCAATTAACGAAAGACGTCAAAAGAACAGTACAACATACAACATAGAGAGCGAGAGAGTGGGAAAACAAGGACAGAAGCAGATCGGGGAGGCCGTTTTTGGGAAAGGCAAAGTCAATTTCAAAATTACGGTATTGTTCTGTACGGATCGGAAAAGGAAACTAAAGTTAATTATAGCATCAGACTATCAAGGCACCAATATGTACTCCGTAGTACATGCCCAACTCTCAAGGCTAGCAAATATAGATTGCTATATATAATTGAGTTGGCGATATCTGCGCCTGACCACCCATGTGTGTCTACCAAGTATGTATTTCGAGTATATAGTCTACGGGACAAGCTTCAGTCTAATTGTTGTTCCATATATCAGCCGCAAAATAGCCAGATATGGAGGTTATACCCGTAGGATGTTGAGTAGAAGTAAGCAGAATGGATCTCAAGAGTGTATATCCAAATAGACGGAAGGAGAGTCCAAGGAAGTAGATCAAGAAGAAGATTAAGAACATCTGCATCCATCTCTTTTCCGTCAAAATATTCTTATCGCTCCTTGATTTCCGTTTCCGGACTGAGGGGATCCACGACCATTGAGAACTTCCAAGTATCAAGGAGAAAAAAGGGAAAAAAATTTGAAAAGAGAGGTTTGGATAACCGATCGCATTCAATCGTTTTGGTCTATTATTTTACTTCCTAAAGCGTGAAGGCAAGAGAAATCGAGAGGAGGTAAAAAAGATAACACGGCAAAAAGAAACTTGAACGTGGACAACCCTGTCTTTTTCCCCCCCGGTCTAAACTTCCATTCGAATTTCGAATTTCATCCTTCCTCTGATTACAACTCTCCTTCCCTTTTTTTCCTCCTCAATTTCTCTTCCCTCTTCCCTCCTTCAATCCCCCTTCGCTCTTTTCCTCCGTTCTCTCGTTTTCTCGTGTTATCGGGAACCTAGACCTTTTGACCTGGGACTTTCCCACCCAGTTCCTTCCAGATTTGAGAGATCATGGCTCCTCCTCCACGTCTGCGCATCCTGTCCGGTGAGTTCAACTTCCGCCTAAATCTTAACGTCTGGGATATCACAAAAAGATGGTTCGTCGTCTAACGAAAGTCTGTGTAGTCGGTGGCAATGCGATCTCAGCCTTTCTCTCATGGCGACTTCAGGCGACAGCCTCCTGCGACGTTACGCTGGTCTGGAAATCCGGATTTGATGCCGTGTCTCAATACGGCGTCTCGTTCAAGTATGTATCTAGGTTGCTGTGTCACAGCCAGATGGCTAATTCCCTCCGCAGATCAAAAGCATTCGGCAACGAACGATTCAAACCCCG